CAACAAAAAACTCCACACACACATGGTGGTACTGGATTTGAGGACACAGTAAGTGAATATCGGTCAACTCTTCTTGGTGCCTACATGTGTGCGACTAAAAAAAATTCCAAAAAAACTCGTATGGTCTAATGAAAAAGATTTAGCAGGCGATCCCAGAGAATATAAGAACGAAGTGAAAGTCGTTTTGGGTAAGAATTTAATGAAGTTGAGTGAAGAGAATAAAAGTGACTTCAAGAAACAGAAAGCGAGTGGAGCATTACTGGCCAAAATCCCTACTACTGGTGAGAAAGACGAATCACATCAGCTGATGATGTAAGTGAAAACTTTGCTAGAGGCTTCCGGTTACAGAACATAGAAAAACATTATGCTAAGCCACGGGGAGTACCCCTGTTACCACCTGGCGCAGACGTTGTCGTGCCCGACAAGAAAAAACCTAGTTATAGTGTGGGACACTGAAAATCTGTTCTCCAATGTGTTTCCCGACCAGATCCAATCCGTATCCATATTGGTAGTCAGCGCCATGATGGCGTTGAGGTGGCTCTAAGCTCACGCTTGCACGAGCTACCAGGCATGGGCAATACCCAATCCAAACCAGTTGAGCAGCCTGGATCTGACGAGCAAACTTGACTTGCTCAAAACCCGCTGCAAGATACTGAGAACACTGAAAGCGATTGCAAGTGTATTGGAGAGGCAAAAATTGATGCCTTGATTTTATCCAACAATGAAGACAGGGATATATGAACGCATCAAGCGTCAAACGTCCAAAAATTGCGAAGTCTTCCAAACACTCCAACTAGAGATTGGACCGGGGCCTATAAAAGGGTAGTCTCGAAGCACAAAAAAGCCATGAAACTGCTGTCAAGCAAGATGCTAGACCACCCTGCTTTACAGAAGATGAGAAAAGCAATGTTTTTTGGGCTGACCTGTAGCGAAACGTAAGCCCGGACGTTTTACCTTTCTGCGAGGAAAAAGTAGTGTAACAAAAATTTTGGGGGCACGGCCTCTAACTCTGTTAAATTAATTAGACGTGTACTTGAGGACAATGAAGAAATGAAGACGAGTGACTTCGCCGCAGAAAGCCCATGGAACAATGAAAGAAGAGAGTAGAAGAAGAGTGGATTGAGGGAATTTAAAACTTGGGAGTGAAAACTTGTTAACCAGGCTAACTAAGACTGGATTTTAAACATTTTGCTTTGTTCTACCTCTGTGACGACCTATAACTTGTTATTGATTAATCTGACGGTCCGGATCACTTACTAAAATGGTCACTGGCTATCAACTGAAATTTCAAATAGCTTCTGAATCTGAGAAATTTGACTTTGAAAAACACGCTAGATATTAGCATTGAGTAAACTGCTGTGTTTGTAAATATCAATTTTTTATATCACCGGCTAATTATCATCAGCACTAATTAGAACAGAGTCTCAAAATCAATCACGATAAAAACTACAATCCACCACTCGAGTTTGAACCAACTTTGGAACCAGCTCATGAATCAAATTGATGGACTTCATCGACCCTTTCTCTCCCTCTTTTTCAACCCATCGCGTCTTAACAGGACCACCCGCTGGCTCTTCAAGAGAAGAATCCACTTCGGCAAAGGGTTTCTAGTCGCCTATTCGATCTGAAATGTTCCGACCACTACCAGCGATTCTGCAAGAAGTTGATGATTCCCCGTCCGCGTTGTGCGTCACGGGATGGAACAAATAACATTGAATCTGATAAGAGCTGGCATTGGTTATCTCCTCTGGAGGCAATTTTCAGTTGATACTATTGATTCGTAACTAGTCCGATAAATCCTTAAAGTGGTGGAAAGGTCCTATGGCGGATGGCTGTTGTTTTTGCCTCATTTTAAATTTTCCGAATAAATTTTGCGACTAAGAGTGGTGTCATATTGAAGCCCTATTGGTCGCAATTTTAATTCAAAAAAATCTAAAAATTTTTTTCAGTGTCGTCAAAAATTCTATCATCGCATCAAAAACAAAAAATGACGCAACTTGAAAAAACATACCTTGTTATCATTAGTTTTTTACCAATCTGGTCCAAACATTGTGTTCTACTTGCACAGAAACCGGCTTTCTTTGATTCATTTTGAAAGCAGTTTCCATATGCAGGATGCAACTACACTTTAGACCATATGCTCGAGATTGGAGGCTAAAAACAAAAAGGATGGCATTTTTTACTCTTGCGATAAGCAAAGGTATTGCAACCGTTAACAAGACTTTTTTTCCTTAATTAATTTCGCTCGTCGGATTCATTCATCTCTTGGAATTTTTTGACTATTGTTATGTTTAAAATTTCAGAAATTCAATCAAAATTACTCTCATTCGAGTAGTAATTAGCTGAAACCCGTTTCGGGTTGTAGTTATGTTTTGAAAAAAACTCAAAATTTGTTTCAGGTTCGTGGTTTATGTCAGAGTTTCTTTCAGTTTATGTTCTGTTTTTTTGAAACGCAATTTTTATTGGCTTACTATTTAAATCATGGGTTGCCAATTCAACAGATAAAAATTGTTTTTTGCAAATTTAATTTTTTTTACTGTAATTGAAAATTCACAAATTTGTAAAGCTACCAAGTCTGATTTTGAGTTTTATTTCGTTTTTTAAACTTTAAACAGTTTGAATTTATGTTATATCAACTTAGTCACCCTATATTGCGCAGTTTTGAGGGCAAACTATATGTGTCTGCAACTACGTGTTTCAGTTTCAATGGGTCGTAAAAACTTCTAAATCTTATAAACATTTAAAATTTTCCGACAAGTAAAATTTTTCGACCTAACTTTTCAGAATTTTTTTTACTTGTTTTTTTTTTCACTTCCTTCTCTTGTATCGCAATGAGCTTTTTAAATCGCAAATTTGAGAAGCTCGGCTATGCCTCTGAGTAATATTTTGCGTAGATTATTTTCTATGTTGGTAGTGGTAAGGTAGTTCTCAATAAAAATTGTAATTTTTGCGGAAAGTGCAAAATTAAAAGTTTCTCATAAACTAACGATAAAAAAAAAACCTCAAATCCCATGCATTTTTAAAATATCTGTAATTTATCAAAGAAAAGATAGACCTCAAAAAACCAGATAAAATATAATGACAAATCGCATAAGTTAACCAGATAGATTATAAAAAATGAATGCCGTAAAAAGACAGTACGCTCAGTTTTTGTTAACATAAGAAGTTTATTTAATTTTCTCCAATTTCTAAGAGATTCAGTGAACATATGGGCTTAATGCGGCTTTTCTTCTCCAAAAAAACGGAAAAATATAAGGCTAAGTTAAATTGCGCAGCTTTGCGGCAAATAGTGAGCAAACTCCAGCGACAAGCCTGAGCACATGCAGTAACGTTGGACTGCTTTCTCAGTTAATACCGCATCTACTTCCATACAAAAAGTGCCTATCATAAAGCTTTATATATGGTTTCGATTGAAAAAAAGATTATCATACAATTTTCGTAGCAGGAAATTGTATTGACATGCAATGATTCAATCGAAAGTTTATTTTCAAAAATTATCTTTATTTGGGTTATAACTCAAATAAAACAAATTGGTTCCAGTTTTAGTTTTATGAAAACAACTTTGGCAAAGAAAAAATTTTTGAATGAAACATGCTTGTCATACAATTTAATATATGAAAATTGTATCATAAGCAATTTTTCCACTTTTTTTTTCAAAGATCTTAATGGATAAAAAGGTTAATGGATAAATTTGAATGAGCTTACATCGGGTTTGAATTGAATGAAAACATAATGATAACCAAAATTTTAATTGTTTGAACAAAAAAGCTTCTCATAAAATTTCATAAATGAAAATTGTATGATATGCATATTTCTATAGAAAAAAAAATGAAATTTTTGGTTCCAATTTTGCTTCTGTGCTCAAATAAAAATTTAAGGAAGAAAAAAACTTTTTGTATTAATAACGTAGTCCAGGTTGAGTTTTTCACCCAAGAAATTCAAAAAAAAACAATCAAATGTTTTTGTATAATCAAAGTTAATTTTTTTGTTTTCATATGCTAAAATAGTAATAAATTTAAAAAAAAACAGGCCTACTTTTTCAACCACCAAAACTTGAAAGCAAGAATTTTCTAGCTACACACAAAAAATTGCGTTTTTGCTATATAATTCTGTGCAAAAATTTACATGCATGGCTAATATTACCAAATGCATTTTATCAGCGTGGTAACTGCAAGTTAAACTCTGAGTTTTCTTATGACAGAAAATCGTTGGCTAGTGAGTTTCGGAAGAAACACATAAATTTTTTTATTTTCATTTATGGAAAAATGGTTGTCATTCAAATTAGTAGTATGGAAAAATGCGTATCATACAATTTCATAGAAAAAAAATTGCGTGTGCCATTTTCATAAAATATTGGTGATAAAAAGTATGACAAAAAGCTTGTTATTTAATTTTAAAAGGGGCCAAAATTTCATAGAATATAAAAGTGCTTGTCATGCTAATTTTTTTTTGTCTATGAAATAGTATGATAAGCATTTTTTCATGGTATGAAATCGTTTGACAAACATTTTTTCAACGCGGGTGTATGCGGAATCCAGTAACAAAAGTCTGCTACGTTTAAACTCCAAATTAAATTTGTTGCTCAACAACCCGGAGCAATTAAAAGCTAGGAAGATTTTGCTCTAAATCTTTGGTGGTTATGTGAATCTTCAAACTGAAAGAAACAAAAAATTTTCTTATTTGAATTCAGTTGTTCTTCAAGTCGATTCTATTTAAAATTATTTTTCAGACCCAAAATCAGCCATTTTCAAATTGATCAAAGAACCAATTTGCCCATTAATCAACCTTTTTTTTACGACTCGAGCATATAAATTTATCTGATTGTTTATGAAGTGTCTAATTTGAAGAATTTCTAGGGATGGAAAATATTTGTTTTCTCCTCGAAATTGTGCAACTTTCGTTTGAATTAAAAAAAAACTTGCCGGAATGTTCTTTAAAATTACACTCTTATTCTGGCCATGACTTACTTAAAAAGACAATCATCTTTTGAAAATCTTCTCTAACATAATTTAAATTTTTAATTTACGAAAATTATAAACTTACCAAACATATTTTACAAAACTCAAACTAAAAACATAATTTTTGCATAATTCAAAATCGATCATGCATCACTTACAAATTCGCAATTATTATCTACTCGTTCTAGAACATCATCACAGTTCTCTTCAATTGACTGCAATTTTTTCAAAGCTTTGTCAGAATTCTCATCCAAATCACGATTATTGAAATCTTTACTGGTTTCAAGGTCAACTTTAGAGTCTTCAGTTTGCTCAGCTTTGTTGTCATTTTGGATTTCTTCGTTAGTTGTTTCATCTTCTGAGAGTTGTTCGGTATTTTCGGCAGCACTTTCGGTTGGAGTTTCGTTTGATGTCGTGGGCGAGTCGTTGATATTATTACTCCTATAAGCTGCGGCGGGTGAAAATGAGCTCAAAGGGGGTAGATGGTTTATGAACTTAGCCGAAGCTACAGGGATCCTTTTATTCGGTCTTTCGATTGACGAGTAGGGTTGATAGATACCGTTTCGCGGCTGTTTGTATCGAGGGTTCGTGTTGTTTTCGCATTCGGGTGTGTCGTACAATGTGCTGCTATGTTCGCTGTGGTTTGGACGATAAGTTCGGATTATTTTGTCGTAGTGACCTCCACTATTGTTCGATGAATTTCGAGGGAATCTTCTTATTTTAGCTCTTCTGGGAACTAAAAATAAATAAATTTCAATTTTTCGCAGAAATGCAAGTTATTGTCGATAAATATACAATTCTGAAGTAAAATTATTCTTCAGTGATCAGAGGAAAAACTAAAGATGTGATAATGTGAAATCAATTGATTATTTCTTAATTAACGTTAATTTCGCTTATTGCGCTTCTAATTGGAGAAAAAGCGCAAAAAATTTAGTTTTCATTTAAAGTTTTATAAATGATGGCAAAAAAACAGGCAAGACTCAAATTCGAATTTGACTCTTTTTCCGAAAAGCTTTTCCAAAAAAATTCATGCGCGACAAAGTGTTAAAAGTTACATTTAGTAGGAAACTCAGGATGTATGTTCATGCAAGATTTAAAAAAAAACTTTTTGTGAGGTTGGTTAAGTCAATGATCTGACAGTTCGAATCACTTACTAAAATGATCACCGGCTATCACCTAAAATTTCCAACAACTTCTTAATCTGTACAAACTTGACTTTAAACAATACGCCAGAGAATAACACTGAGTAAATCGCTGTATTTGTAAACGTCGATTTTTTACTTCATTGATTAATTATTATCTTATTATTATTATCTTATTAATAAGAACAGCGTCTCAAAACAAAACATGTTAAAATTAAAACCCACCCCGCGAGTATTCTCCGTTACTCGAAGCTGGTTCGTCTGTCAAATTGGGTGACTCCATCGTCCGTTCCTCACCCTCCCGTTCACCCCATCGCATCATACCTGGACCACCCGTTGGCTCCTCAAGTGAAGGGTCCACTTCGGCAAAGGGTTCCCAGTCGTCTATGCGACCGGAAATGTCCCGATGTCTGCCTGCGATACTGCAAGTAGCTGATGATCCCCCATCCGAGTAGTGCATCACGGGCTGGGAAAAACATTTAATCTAATAAGAACACACGGTATAAATTACCTCTGAATTCTTAAGAAAACTTCAGTAGAGTCTCTTGGAATTTGATTGTTTTGGCTTATTAAGCTGATAGTTTAGCGAACTTTCTTCAGTTTGCCATAATAACTAGTCGAAATCAGAAAATATGTGGTATTTGCACAGAAACTGGCTTTTTTTTGTTTCATTTTGAAAACAGATCCGATACGCATGATAAAAGATCCCCTACCGTACCTGACTTTCAGTCGATAAGCTGGTGATTGGAGGCTAAATACAAAAAGGATGGCATTTATATGAAAGGTGATAAAAAACGATATCGGCGATCGGGATCCTTAGTATTAAAAGGCGAAAAACGCAGTGCTGCTTAGCTTTAACAAAATTCGAGCAACTATACCATTTTGATTGGTCGGCAATTCTATCTCACCGCTGGGATATAGCTCATGTGGAAAAGCGCCTAGAAGCAAGCTAATTCGAAGCCTCAAATAATAGAAAGGATGTTTTTTTTGTAATAAGATCCAAAAATTTAATGCCATCTAAAACTGACTTAAAATTTCAGCACGTCCGATTTTCATTCGGTATATCTGTAATTCGAGGCCAAAAATAGACCATGCAATATGTTTTGCATTATAAATCGATCATTACTGGTTATATGATGCTAAACTGAAAATGTCATTTTCTTCAGTAAACATAAGATCCTAAAGTGTTTAAGCAAACAAATGCTTTTTGTGTGCTCCCCCGTTCCACGTATTGATTCTGGCTAGCTTTGACCCTCCTACCATATTTAGCACAACAAAATTTGTATTTGAAAATTTTCGATGACTTCGCATAAAATAATGATTCTGCACTAATTATGAAACTATGAAACATTTTTGGATCGGTTAGTGACATTGTTATAAACTTACAATCGGTTCAGGACAAATAATCCGAAAGGGCCCGCTCTGAAAATCAGCATTCCGAAATTTAAAACTGTTATTCTATCATATTTATCTCAAATTAACGGATTAAATATAACGACACAGGTTGTTTCGTTGCTTTACTCATCAATTCAACCTCAATGATTTTAAAAAAATAGTCGTTATGATCAGCTGCATTAAATGACAGAACTATTATTAATGAGTCATAGTTACCATGTAGCACGAAGTGGCATAATGTTGATCATTGTCGGAATTAGACGACTTTCTTCTATTCGTTCCCCTCCTTTCATTGGGATTTCCGCCATGTCCGTTTGTCATTTCAGGGGGGAGATCCACTCTCAGCCCGGGTATTTTTCCATACTTGCTGCCTTTTTCACTGCTCTTGTGGTGTTCATAATCTATTGACGACCGAATTGTGTTTGAGGGCGAGATAGGACGTCCTTTTCTGTCGTAGTATACAATTGGACCGGAGGGAGGGGCGTTTGAGAAGCCGGGCAGTCTGGCGTAACTGTGGTTCGTTATCGAGGAAGTGGATCCGGCAGTGTTGCTTGGAGGGAATCCGCTGCTCGAAGCGTAGCCAGGGTAGTGCGGCATCATTTTGGAGTACCTGAAAAATATAAAATTTTCATCAAAAGTCTCTAAAATACAAAATGTCTGAAAGTATCAATATCATGTCTCCTTCCAGACGCATGCGAAACTGATAACTGTTTCGAAGAAATTTTGTCTGAAAAAATAGTAGTTTTTTCAAACAATATCTCATATATTTTTTCTAAACAACTTTCACGACTTTATGAGACCCAAGACTAGCTTATGACAAACTTTTCTATCGAAAACAGCTCTTTCTTGAGCATTTTCAGAAATAACAATATTTTTTCGAGGAAAAAAGTTGCTGTAAATGTAAAGTATAAAGGACTAACGGAAGGTACTGGTTCGAGTGAGTACTGTTAGCCGGATACTGAGGATAAGGTATCAAGGGGAATGCATTCTGTCTCAGCTTCTTCTTAGTGTTCCTGTACTTGACACAAGTCACCAGCAGCACACACACTATAAACAGCATGACGAGGATGATGAACACTGATATCAGCACTTCTGGAGGGAGAGAGAAGAGCCAATCGGCGGCCGAAATAGACATCTGGGAACTTGTGAGGACCTCGCAGTTGCGGCCGGAATACTGGCTGCCACAATTGCACCTGGTAAAACAAATTAGGATGTTAGTGGGATTGATTTTCAGAGGTGGTAATATTTTTGCTTCTTATCAACCCGAACTATTGAGAGATGTAAGCAACCAAAATTTTTTTCTTTTCTAAATGATTAAAACTTGGATTTTTAATATCATGATTTAAGATTCCTTATTGAGAAATAAAAAACCAATTCGGACACTGAAGACTGTATCAAACCTAATAAAGTCAAAAACCGATCAAGTTAAATTTAATATTCCAACATTTTTCCAAAAAAAAACGTAACAAAACGAACATTTGAGTCGTTCACAGACTCGATTTAATCCACGAACCTGTTCTTCTCAAGACAAAAGAAGCTTATGAGCTATTATGTCATCTAATTAGGCTTTAAGCGCAATAAGAAATCATAAAAAGTGAAAAAAAAAAATATGTTGAATTGTTCAGCATGCCAATCTTTGAAAAAATAAGTGTTTTTCATTTTTGAAAACTCAAAATCGGGAGAGGGCGGAAAAAAGCCAAAAGAGTATGGCAGATGGAAAAATGGTACAGGACTTACTTGTATGCTCCAGGAGTGTTCTCACACGTGCCTCCATTTTTACAGACTGGATCCGAAAAGACACACTCGTTGATGTCATTCTCACAGTATGTTCCGAAGAAGCCATCGAGACACTGGCAGTAGAAGGAGTAGGATCTGTCATCACAGATACCCCCATTCTGACAGGGTAGATTGGTACCCTCGCAGTATTTTTCGCTGTCACATCTCTGACCTTTGATGCCTGAAATAGATACAACATGTAATAATAGTACACAGTTGAAATTATGAACTTGAATCTGAATCTGAAGCTTCGCACCATTTGCGATAAAACATAAAATTTGCAGTGCAAGCCAATAGACAGGAAAATAAAGCCCTTAACTCGAAAGATTTGAAGAAAAAAGACTTAAAAAACCATTAACTAAAAAGCTCAAAATGTTGTTTGTAATCATGTTCTATTTGCAGAAAACACGTCCAGAAACACAACCAAGAGAAACTAATTAAAATTCAAAAATAATTAACAAGCGGCAATTGAGCCGACGAAATTTGAATAGTTTCCCGTAGAACCGAAAATATATTTGTTGTCATGAAAAACTATGAACTATTTTAAGAATTTAAGCAATTTGTGTGATCCGAAATGAAACATAAAACTTATCCTTCCTTTGAAAAGGGCCCAAATTATGTCACTAAGCTGATTAAATATAAGCCGAAATCATTTAAACCGGATAAAGTTTTTGAGCAAAAAAGTGGAAAAAATAAAACATCAAAACGTACGAAGTAAAGACTAGTAAAATTTAAAATTGCAGGAGTAATTAAAAACACTGAAAGCAACTACATTGAAAACTGAGTACAAAAAAAAACATTTCTACGATGTGGCAACTAAACAGACAAACAAGCAGACAAACTATAGGCCGACATTTTTTGGCAAGCAAGATTTCCAGTTTGAAAAAAAAAACATTTCCTTGTCAGATTCCAACCCACAACCTTTGCTGTCCCAGACGTGTTCATTACCACCAAGCTAAGTGTTCAGGAGACACTAAGAAATTTAAGTTATTTATGAACCAAGATACAAGTGATTCAAGTGATTCTGTTAAAGAAGTTGTTAACCCGAAAAAAAATCTATATTCCAGATTGATAACGCTTGCTTATCGCAAGCGTCATGACAAAAGCTGGAATAATTCAATTAAATGCAAAACGATTTGATTGTTCTTTTGTGGTACTGATATTTTTCACTGTTTGTTTATGTCCGAGTAGTTAAGAACAACAATCTAGATCGAGTTTTTTAACGAAATTTTGAGTGCCTCAAAGAGCGCTCACATGGGACCGAAATTGAAATTATGTTTAAATCTCTTTGAGGAAATAAAAATTAATTAATCCTTTTGATTACACTAATTCAGAGCAATTAAAAAACAGGGCCAGCATACAGTAGGATAAAAATTAATGATCTGAAACAAACTGAAAAAAAACTAAATAACACTTCAAAAAAGGAAAAGAGGATGAATTATAGTTTAACAAAACTTTAACAAAAATGTCGCTTGTAAATATTTATATAGCTTGGTAGAAAATTCAATATCAGCAATTTTTGTTTGCATTTTGATAATTGATTATACACATAATATCGAAAATTATCTCTTTGAAGCTGAATCACATGTTTTTACCCAGAGGCGAAGTTGCACTTCGCATACACAAGCAAAAATATGACCAATAACGCTACTGGGAAACACTGAATGAGTAAGACTTTAAGTCTACAAAATTTCACAAGTTACGCACGCCAATTATGAGTCTACATAATTGCTAACTGACGCAAGCCAATTAAGACGCATTAGCAGTACCAGTCAATTTGAAACAATAAATTTACCAACTAGCATGCCTCAATTTATAGAGCGGCCGCATTTAAACTAGTATACGAAAAAGTTCATTAAAAACATCCGACCCTGCCAAGGTTCGAACCCTCTTAATATGTTGCTGCTATCCTTCTCTACCTCTACGCTACAGATCCATGATACCTTAAAGCTAAAGTGCTATTTGTAATATAATAGTCTGTGTTAATATCCGTAGCATTAGCTTTACTTAATAGCTGGATCAAAATGAACAGTTTTAAAATGAACACATCTTTTCGCAACAATTGCATCGCAACAATATTTGCGACTTAGGTTGGAATAAAAAGAAAGTCCGTACTATAACACAAGCTATGCTTGTGTAAAGAAGGACGCAAAGACCAAACTTTTCAAACATGAAAATCAAATTAGAAAATTCCGCACAAAGGATAAGCAGAGTTTAGTTCCAGTTGCCATACATCACAAACATAGAATAGCAAACTAATTGAAAAAAAATGAAGAAGGCCAGTAATTTAAGCAACGAAAAAATGAAATTATGCAAAATCTGATAAAATTATGCAATACTGATAAACCTGAAACCAAGATAAGAATTGACGCCCAAACACAGAGACGAAAATGCATTTTGCAAACACAAGCAACAAAACGCCAAAAATAGGCTCTAAAAAGTGAAAATAGTGAGATAAGTATGGAATAAAACAAATGAACGCATGGAAACAGAAAAAAAATCTGACTTTCGATTTTCAGAGAAAAACATATGATCTCAAAGCTCTTTGAATTTCAAGAACAATTTGAGATTGATTTTTTTTTTGATAAAAAGAACTTAATTTGAGAAAACTGGATCAATAGGTAAAATTAAAATCCACTTAATAAGTTAGAAATCGATCTCATTTTTCGTGACCTTTACACTTTTGCTGTTTGCTAGTGGCTTTTCCTATCCTTTTAACGAAGGAAGCGAACTGATCTTAAAAAACAAAAATCAAAACCAACAAAAAATCAGATTTCAGCGTGAACAAATTTCAATATTCTTTCCAGAAAAAAATATCTAGACGTATATAAGAGTATTCACTACGTTCATGACTTTTAAGAATGCAGAATGGGTTCTCGCATCTGTTCCATGTGTTACTAAGGTTTCAAAACACTAGCAACCAATAATGTGGATAAACACAAGCTCTTAAATTGCCAACGCTATTGCCAGTGCTATGCAGCAAAAGTGCCATGAAATAAGCATTTTATTTGCGAGTTAGATTCGAAAAAATGGAGTCGTATTATAACGCAACTCTCGCAAGCTCGATGGTGTAACCAGAGGAGGTAAGTGAAATCAAACATGCTCAAATTATGTCTGCTGATGAGCAGGTCTGTTCAGCTTCGAATGAGATTCTGGCTTCAGCTACAGTACTCGATTAAAATACACTTGCTCTCACAAGAGTATAAAAAACATTTAATTTTCTATATATAAAAGTTTTATTTAAAAAAGAAGTTTATAAGAAATAAGTTCTACTTCTAACATCTTCAAGACCAACCTTTTGGACAGTGACACGTGTAATTGGTCAGTGATCCATCCATAGTGCGACAGATGCTCCCTTCAGCACACGTGGAACTCAATCCACATTTGGTCTTTAAGGTTTCACATCTGGATCCAGAAGCGAATACGTCACACAGACATTCGTAAGAAGAACCAGCACCTCGGCAGGTTCCACCGTGGAAACAGGGGTTATTAGCACAAGAACCTGAAAATAAATAAAAATAATTATCCATTTTTAAATAATCCAAAACAAGTCCTTTCATAACTCAACGAATGGGCAAAAAATTCAGTCATCCTAAACTAAAAATCTTAAATTAAAAAAAAATAAAATTGCCTTAGCTGGGAAATACCTAATTTTTTTCACTGTTTATTAAAAAAACTTTGATATAGTTAAGTTTTGCTAAAAACTTCGCAAAATAAATTGACATTAGAGTTTGATATTGAGGTTGAATGGAAAAAACATTGATACGAAACATCACAAAGAATATTTCATCGCAACTTCACATTAAGTAGGTCAACATAAGATTATTTTTGAACCAAGAAAATGGACACAACCCTCGCTCGACTTACTGAGGGTGACGAGAGCTGAGTTGCATTTTGTCTCTACATTTTTGAAGTCCAACACCTTCACTGACTGTGAGTTATGTTTGACCATGAGAGTGTGTGCTTGCTGTCTGTGTTCCAGGGGGTTAGGCAGTCTGACGTCATTGATGAAGATGTCGTCTATGCATCCAAAGTAGCGGTAGTAGTTGTTCCACGCAAGAGTGTCGAATGAGTTGCGCTCTGTAAACAGTTTTGATCACAATAATTTGGTAAATTTTGGTAGAAACTGAATCAAAAATTATAACAATTTCAGGCGGAAGTTTTATAAGGATTACTATTAACTAATGAAAACCAAATCAAAATTGGGAGGATGCAATTGTATCACACAAACATTACGCCCAAAAGCTGTTTTCGAAGATTAAACCCTCAAATTGTAATATCACATTTTGATAGAAAAACTAAAAAAACTAAAACATAGCAAACTGACAGTTGGAAAAGAGTAACGAACGCAAGAAAACTAAAAAAAACTGACTCGTTTTTTTTCAAAAATCTTCAACTTTTGAATTTCGAAGAAAAAAATAGATGTCCTTAAAGCTCTTTGAATTTGAAGAACAATTTATGATGGACACTTTTTTGTTAAAATTAACCCAATTTGAGAAAACTGGATCAATAGGTAAAATTTATATTTCACTGGAAAATCTGATAATTAACTTCCATTTTCGAAGTTAGAAGAAAATCATGTTTTTCGTGACCTTTACAATTTTGCTGTTCGATAATGGAGTTTGCCTTCCTTTTAACAATAAAAATGCACTGAACTTAAAAAGAAATCACAAGTCAAACCGCGAAATATCAAAAATGAGCGTGAACAAATTTTAATTACTTTACCATGTTCATTACTCTTAGAAAAGGATAAGATGATGGTATACTAATCAAGTACTCACTTCTGAACTGTGATATTTCCTGTCTCTTTTCCATTCTATCTGCTATGAACACCATCCTAGACGACAAGTCCACTCCTAGTCCCTGTCCATGTTCGTATCCCGCCGGCTGTTCCGAGGTCTCGGAGGCACAGTAGATGTTGTCCACACAGATGGAACTGGTTTGTCCGTCGAAGAACGCCTCCACATAGTGCCACACTCCGTCGTTGAACTTTTTAGCAGAGTTGAGAGCTGTGTTCTTGTTGGTCCGGAACCGAACGTGACCATTTTTCACCTTCAAACATAAAAGACGGGCGAATAATCGAAAAACCGCCATGTTTACAAACCGCCATATCTTGAAGCCGAAATTGAATCAAAATACAGAGTATACACCAGAATTACGTAACAATTGCATAACAACAATGAAAATCTGTTATTATGTTGCATAACAATTTTAATTTTCGGCTTGTTGGCATGGTAATCCTATGTTAGATTAGTAGGCCCTTCGGCTTGTTGGCCTACCACCAAAAAACGATATCTCGTAACGAATCAAAATCCTGACATAGATAAACCATAAAGGAATTTTTCACGTTTCGAAAAAACCCAGCTCGATTTTTTTTTTCATCTGATACTTTTTAGACCCATCTGGAATATGGAATCTGGAATATGAAATGGAGCTTTTAGAGACCTGAAACTATTGTCTTGCTAACTAACTCAGGTGTCATAATGATTTATTATAAAAAAAAAGCTTCTATACCACGATAATGCATGGATCTATGTTGTGCATAACTTACATCAACTATAGCGTAGTCTGTCTCCCCAATTATACTGAGCATCTCCCCGTTGTCCACTCTGGCTTCGAGGCGGAACGAGAGGCGGATGGACACGACTGAGAACAGCTCCACTGCTGGCACCTCATAGTTGACGAAGCCAGAGTACGAAGCAGACAGGAACGACATGGGGCTGTAGTCTGACAGGAAAACAGAAAATATTATACTTACATTCGCATAAAAAAGAAAGAAGAAAGAAATGAAAGTAAAGCGCCTCTTCAAATTATAGTTGCAATCACCGAATGTGTGGAGTAAATTTGTATTCGGGTGAGTTGTTTCCGCGCAAAATCAGGAACCAAAAACAACGTCTGATAAAATTGAGTGATATATCATATTGAAGCCTTTTTAGTCGTGATCCGAGCTGCGTTGAAAAATTGTCTGACACCTCCCCTCCAGAAAATAAACGACAAGAAGATGCAAATTTTCGCAGAAATGATTTTGATTGGAGCGTTCTGTTGGTAACATTGCACTTCATTTTCTTAGTATTGAGATTGTTTTCTCTTTATTGGATTTTCCGTCATATTTCTGATATTTCAAGATCATTCGTCTCCATCAATAGGTCGAAACTAGAAATTCGGACTAAAAGGGCAACATTGGAGCTATTAAGCACTTCAGGAATAAACCATGATCTGAATTTGGTGGAGCGTTTTTTTTGTCACATAGACAAACACGAGTATGAATATACATGAGTATGAATCATAGCGGGACTCATATTTCCAATTTTGGATTGAAAAGTTGAGGCACCAGCCTCGAAGTCCAGGAATTTATCTCGATAGTTAAAAATCTCGGCACCACAAAAGAGCTCTTTTGGGAGTGTTTTGGCGATGATGGCGTTCAACAATCTTCATGAACGCAGGGATGGAAAATTAGAAAAGAGCCAAGAAAAGTGAAGACTCACCCTCAGTGCATAGTTGTGATTCACAAGTGGGCTGATCGTCGTCTCTGTTTCGACAGTTGGACAAATCAGAGGCCAGACACTCGCAGCGGAAGGTAGTCTCACTCACCGCGTGGCAGCGCCGACCAGCACCACAAGGGTTGTCCCGGCAGGCGGTCTCCACACACGAAGTATCTAAATCATCAAAAGAAGTGAGTTAAATTGCTACTATAGGCTCATCAACTATCACCCTCCCACTACTCCCGATAGTGGGTTTTACTTCAATATTGAAGAAGAGCTCGTCATATTTTGAGTTCTTCCAGTAAAAAGCAGGTTTTTAAGATACACCGGTTGCCTGCTACTGAAAAATAACATAAACATAAATTGGCGACAAAAACGAAAAATTATGAGTTGGCCAGCTGAAAAATTCGAATTGGTCTGCCGATGGAAGCGACTTCAAAACTGATTATGGCAGCCATTTAAGACAATTGGCTCAACTCAACGAAACAATCACTTCAAAATCTTATTTTAACCTCTGGGACTGCATTTGCACATTGACGACCAATTGTGCTTGAGAGTGACGAAACTGCTCCTCTTAGCCGAATAGCTGCGGTAGCTCTCGAAGCCTAACTTCAGTTCCAAGTCCACCACACTTGTGCACACTGTGTTGTTCTCGCACTGCATTCTCTGCTGCTCGCAGATGTCGTAGACTATCTGCACAATCGGCAGCTTGGACTTGATCAGCTCCATCCTATTTGACACTGTGTGTTCCACGACGTCACGAGTAACATAGATGTGTTTGCCTGAAATGAAAGTCTTGGTACTTAATTTCAATGCCTCAGTGCCAAATTGAAATCAATATCGATGAAATTGGGGAGGATCAGAAATAAGGTCTTTTAGGCTCACTAGACTTTTGAATATTATTTCAAATATTGAAGCCCCAAAAATTCTAAGGCCGTATAAATGAGCAAATCGATGTTAGTTTAACTGCGAATAAATTCTTTGAACAAAAACATTATGGCAGTAATTCTGCACGCAGAGGCAAAGCAGAGTTTCGCACCACTTGCGATGCAAAAATTGCAAGTCAAGAAAAAACTTATCAAAAAATCAGTTTACAAAATTGTTGCAAAAACATTTTAAAAAAATATATGAGCAACAAAATCCGCCTGACTCCATCTGAAGTTTTAAATCTGCCTGCTATGCATCGAAGTCTTCCGAAGGCACGCGATAAAACCATTGGTAAAAGTTTTAGAAGCCGAGACAAACTGAATTAGAAACACGACATAACTCACATTTAGAGCAGTTAACACGGGTAACATGGTTAACCAAAAAAACATAGAGAAAAAATTTGACCAACTATTAAAAATTTTAAAAAATAAATATATGCCATTAGACTAGTCTTTAGAAAGGTTTAGCCCCAAAAAAGAGATCGAAATTAGCTAGACGAAAAAAAATGAATTAATTTGGACTACATAAAAAGGAGAAATTCAGCAAATGCATTTGCAAAATTGAAAGACAGCAACAAATTGACCTTGCAACACGATCAATTCGTCGAGAAATTCTGAACAAAAATATCGAATGTTTTGATATCAATAACTTCTGATTTGATAGCATTTCAAGCTTGCTTGGTTTCTGTGTTTACTGTCCTAACACATTGCAACTATGCAAAATCGGAGGAACAAAACAAATTTATTAGAATAATTAGCAGACAGCTACTCAAGTTGATACTGCTAAACGATGAACTAGTATAAAAAATTTGATTAATATAGCTACTTTCCGAAACAATGTGGGCTAAAAAGCAATAAGAGCATATTTTAATTCTTGCAGAAAAACTTAACAGAAAAGGAAAGGAAAAATTGCGAAAACTCATTAATTTAAAAAGTTATACCGGAAAAACATTATAAAAATCAGCTGACTGAACAGTCAACATATCGACGTTTAAAAACAAAGTTATTGTGCAAACTGAAAACAATAACGAAAAAAAGAAACAAAATTTTAAAAAAAAACGAAAAAAAAAATTAAGGCGCAAAAAGACTTTTAAAGGAACTCACTTTTAAAGGAAATAACAGCCACACAAAGCCCGAACCTAAGATGCACCAAGAATATTTACCTATGCAGCAAAACGCTTTTAACATTTTCACGTGCGAATTCTGTGAATAAAGTCTAGGACCCGGTTGTAACACCCTTGCTTATCGCAAGAGTAATCACTTTTAAAACTGCCCTGCATAAAATTATAAAATTGAATTATATTGCCAAAACACTAGTTCAAAAAAAAGGAAACCTCATGGAACATTTACGCTATTTCACATTCGCTTATGTTTTAAAAACAAATGTACAGCAAATGGCAAATATTGCTGTTGCTCCTGTTCTCAAAAATCGCTGACAATCTATTTTCGGCAGTTTGCTCAAAATGATTTGTTCTCCTGTACTTTGCATACACAAGCAAAAATAATACTGATAACGCTACCGAGAAAAAGTGAATGATTAATACTTTGAGTCTACAAAATTTCTTAAGTGACGCACGCCAATTGTGAGTCTAGTTAATTGCTAAGTTTCGCAAGCCAGTTATGACGCATTAGCATTACCAGTCATTTTGAAAAAAAACGAATTTACCAAATAACATGCCTCAATTTATAGAGCGGACGCATTTTAACTAGTATACGAAAAAATTCATTAAAAACATTCGGCCCTGCCCAGGTTCGTACCCTCTTATTTTGTTGCGGGTCACCTTCCCTACCTCTACGCTACAGATCCATGATACCTTAAAGCTAAAGTGTTATTTGTAATATAATAGTCTGTATTAATATCCTTAGCGTTGACTGTACTTAATAGCTGGTTATAGATCAAAATGAACACTTTCAAAATGAACACTAATATTTGCAACTTAAGTAGGAAAAAAAGAGAGAGCTCATACTAGCTATCACACAAGCTTCGCTTGTGTAAATATTAACAGCTAATTCGAAAAAAATAAAGTGCTGGAAATTGTCTAATCCCTTCCACCCTCACTTTTAAAGCAAAAATGGTTGAGACGTACCCTCGGGTAGTGTTTCGAAAACACAGAAGAGAACCCTCAAGTTGTGGTCATCAGTCTCCTGCATACTCAGTACTGCCACTTCTATTTTCTCAGAGGAAGCAAACACAGTCATCGTCATCAGAGTCTGGAATAAGAACAGTTATTTTGGTTACAGTGCATGGAGCACAGAATATTCCGACCACATTTAAAATTCTCCCAGAAAACGATTAAAATAGTGTGTCGTTTTTTGTGCGTGGCGGTGTGGCGAGAGAAAACAAAAGTAGCTTAGAAGATTATTAATTAACAATAGTTAACAACAGTTATCTTTGCAAAATGGATATCAAAACGACGAAATATTCATCACAGCAACTAAAAATACCTGGAAGAGGACGAGGTAGGCGGAGAGGAAGTCGTGGGGAGTCATCTCGGACAGTTCTATCGTCACTGCATTCTGCAGCATCTCATGCGTCACTTGTTTCACATGGATAGTCACGTTGCCCTTATCCGTGTGGATCCCATCGGTAACCTTGAATAAAACAAAACTTCATTATAATTCACAGATGAGACCCTATCTCATAGTTAAAACGACCAATTTTGAAAACTTCTTTTGTTGGTTTTTCTGAATTATTTGAGGAAGTTCTTGAAAAAAAATAGGGTAGTTTCAGAAGTATTCCGAAAATTCGAGTCACTGACCGTGACAAAAATATGTGACACTGACCTTGACAATAATATGATATTTGCCCTCATCTAAATTAGTCTGAGCCAAGAGGGCACTGTCCTGCATGAAGAACAGAGAACCATCTCCCTCCTCTTCAGCTGACTCTGCATTAAGAGCAGTCTGGTCTCCCCTGACAGTTAGTGCTGTGCCAGACTGACTTAGAGTTCTACGGGGTTCCTGCTTGTGCACCCAGTAGGAGAGTTGGTCGTGTTTGTCATTGTCCACAGCCGTCAATTCGGCTGAAAAACAAAACACGTCGGATTAAGCTAGCTATGGAAGATGAAAGAATAGAAGGATAAGTTGTAACGAACACAGAAGGATGTTAAGAAACTTGAGCGAAACTGAACTTTTACTTGTTGATTTTTCCACGGAACATTACCTTCATTGTTACACAGAAACTGCAGAAGTACTGAGTACTGATTGTATTACAATCACGGCTTTAACAAGCTACCCTATGGTGGCTCGTAACCAGCGTCCACCCTACTAGGAATTATTCAACAGTTAGAGTTCAATTTAAATTATACCTGGTAAAAAATAACCCCCTTGTTAAGTCATATTGTTACAGAGTCCGATCAATACTTGTATGGTAATAAATACGGTACCAATTTTTCCGGCGGGGAAAGTGTCCTCTAGGATGATGATGAAGACCTCGTGATTGAATATGCTCGGGGGTTCAGCACTAGCCTTGTACACCTCCACTATGACCGGCACCTCATTCGACGCCGGAGGAAGCCCAGAGTCCATCACATTCACCTGCAATCAGTTAAATGATCATTTATTTTAACTCAAAAGTTTTTAATCGGTTTGGAGGTCTACTTCATTTTTACAGGATACAATGCAAAAAAAACTAAGCTGGGTCAAAATTTATATCATTCAGAATTAACCTACTAGCACCAAAACGCTTGCTAAGGACAAGCTTGAATACAATCGAAAACGCCAATGCTGGGCAAATAAAAAGCAATTGGAAAAAATAATTCGTTCTAATAAGTGGAGTATTTTTTTAAAAAAAATCTGATCGACAGAAGACGAGTTTTAACGTTTATACACTCCTCACTCACCTTGAACTTATATGAACCGACTCCCAACTTCATGGTGTTCTTTAGGACACCGTCTGAGTCCACTGAGAACTTGTCCGCGTAGTCCCCCACCACGGAGAAAATGAAGGGGGCTCCGTTTCCAGGACCATCCAGGTCAGTCACTTTGATCAGTTCTAACACGTCACTCTCGGGGAAGTCTTCCTGAAAGAGTTAAACAAGCTCGCAACAGAGAGTTCTGGTTCGAAACTCGCTCAATTCGGTAGTTTCAGTTAATTTACCAAGTGCAATGGAAAAAAAGTCTTCATCATTTCAAATTCTTTAGTAGCTTAGCAGATCGTCAGATTTTACCAACTGAAAGTGAGATACATTTAAATGATTTTTAAAGTTTTGAATTGTGATGTCTAATTTGATACCGATTCATTTGTATAATTGGGAAAACTCGATTATGAATTTTTGACTTTTTCGGAATTTAGCAGCTAATTGAACTCACGGGAATGTGGACCTTGTACTCGTCTTTTTGAAAGCGAGGCGGGTTGTCGTTTCTGTCAATGATGTTCAACTTCAGTTGCATGTAGCCACTCAGTTGAGGAACTCCATTGTCGTACGCTGCTATCTTCAGGGTGAAGTGCGTCCTCTATAAAACACATTAAATCTCTTTTTGCTGTTGTTGTTCTTTTCGTTCAGTTTTACTCTCATTTTGTTGTTCCAATTTTCAAAAACAGCAACAGAATTATTTTTGGTTATACTTCTGGGCGTGGGAAGTTTTGCATCTGCCTCAAACGAGCACGGATCATTGCGGGTATCGAACCCTCGAAACTTTAGCTGAAACGCGGAGGACAATCATTAACACTCCACTTTACCAACTGCACTGACCTGTTCGTAGTCTAGGGCACTGCCCACTACTATTACTCCAGTTTCGGCAGTGATAACGAAGTTGGGAGTCTTGGTCACCAAGTGGTAAGTCAGCGAAGAGTTGAAGTCCATGTCCAGAGCCTGCGCCTATATAAATAAGCAGGAAATTGAGTCAAATCATTAACATAAACATACTATGAGAAAAGATGTCTTATTAACCCGAAGCAGCTCAACGAAAAAGGTTACTCATTCAAATAGATAACCAGATAATTTACTGCATTCTTTTAATATCCGAGGAAGATTTTATGTAACCTAGGAAAAACACTTCAGAAACACAAGCGTAAAACGGCATGAGATAGTTCTGAAAAAAAAAGCAAAACTGAAGATAGTTCAGAATTTTGTCTTGAAAGAAAATCAATTTCAGGAAAAACGAGTACTGAAAAAGTAACTGAATTGAATCTAGTACGGAAATTATTCGGACCATTAAGCTTGCCTGGATTCAATTTGAAATGATCATTTGAGCAATTTGAAATTATTTCACCGCGCTAATCCGTGAACATTGTAAATTTGAGCAGACAAATGCGCATACTTTAGTCCAGCAAACTGACAAAATGCAAACTTTGAAAACATTCACAACTTTAAGAAAAAATGATCGCATATATTTTATACGAGTTTGAGGTCAGATTGTTTCTAGCTTCAAAAAGGGCGCACAAATGAAATGTGTTTCGAAAATTTTGCATAAAAACTTTGCAATGAATTGAATGAGTTAAGCTTTAAAAAAAAGCAGACTGAATGTTAAAGCTACCACTGCAAGCTCGCTTGTAGACAAAAAACTAAAAACTACCAAATCAAATAAGCAAGCCTGCTCAAATCATGCCGAAACCTTGATTGTTCTGAACATGATTGCTCATAGAGTCGATGAAAAGGTTCTTGGTTCTTGAAAAAATGTTTAAAAGTATGCTAAAAAATGAAGATAGCAAATTGAAATTTTAAAAAGAGTCAATGAACGCAAAGAAACAGAAAAGCATTAACTTTTTTTCTGAAAGAACTCCAAATTTCGAACTTCAAACAAAAAATACAATGAAGAGTCTGTCTTGAATTCTGAACGCTTCTTGTTCTGGCAGCCAACTTCCTACATTAGGAATGATAGCGATCACATTTTTTTGCGCCATTTAAGCTTTCACAATTAAAGAGTGCATTTTGCCTACTATCTACAAAGAAGTCAAGACTGCTCGTATCAAGACGAAACCCTTGTTGTTCTGGCTGCCATTTAAGGTGTATGGAATAGTTTTCTATTGAAAAATGCTTGAAACCTTTTGAATTTTCACGAGATTTGTTTTGAAAACAATACCTCACAAGCTATAACACGTACGAAGTTATATAAGTTGCTTTTATTTGAAAAAACTTCAGACGCCAGTTTGAGAAAACTGAATGATTGAGAAAAGTTTTTATTTCGCGGGAAAATCTAAAAACTAAATTCGACTTGAAACCAGAAAATCTAGAAACTAGAAAACACGTGTTTTCGCCCCATTTAAGCTTTCATAATTGTAGAGTCCATTTTACCTACCCTCTACCAAATTAACTTGAACTAAACTCAAAAATGCATTTTACGTATAAGCATTCATATGTGCATTTATAAGTATGTATGCACTTCTTTTGCTATAAGAGTGTTTTAAGGTTTTTCCTGAAAAAAAAAATCAAAAAAAACTATCACGACCTATATAAGAGTCTGAACTACGCTCATCGACTCTTAAAACCATTTTGATTTTTCAACATTTTCCCCCCGTACATTTCTTTTCCTCCCCCTTTCACGAGATATGCAAAGTACAGGATGAATTTTTTGCGTCTGGGAACTAAACTCAAAATGCATTTTACGTATAAGCATTCATATGTGCATTTATAAGTATGTATGCACTTCTTTTGCTATAAGAGTGTTTTAAAGTTTTTCCTGAAAAAAAAATCAAAAAAAACTATCACGACCTATATAAGAGTCTGAACTACGCTCATCGACTCTTAAAACCATTTTGATTTTTCAACATTTTCCCCCCGTACATTTCTTTTCCTCCCCCTTTCACGAGATATGCAAAGTACAGGATGAATTTTTTGCGTCTGGTAACGTAACAGTATGAGCAAATTGCTTGCCTTATTTCATTTTGGAATGATTTAATTTATCACCACCTGCCCTACAAAAAGGACAATATATATCACTCATTAATTATTCCAAACTTAATTGTGTTCAAAGTAGTCCTAGATTTAATCCCCTATTATGAAAAAATGGTTCCAGCAGATTTTTTTTTTCAGTTTTGAGCTCTCCTCATCGATATTTTTCAGACGGTATAAGAAAATCTGCCAAAAAGGGCCAGTTAAAAGTCGAAGTTTGTCTGAAGAAAAAAACATCCCGAGCACAAATATTCCGTCACTTTCTTTGAAAGTCGAAACAATAAGAAACAGACAGCTCGCATCAAGGCGAAACCCTTGTTGTAGTTCTGATTGCACTTTAACGTCTATGGAATAATTTTCAAGAAACTTTTTGAATTTTTTTGAGATTTTTTTTTAAAATCATACCCCACAAGCTACATAAAGCACAAAGTTATATAATTTGCTTTTAGTAACGTAACTCCTTGACAGAAAAACAACTTCAAAAAACAGTTCGCAATATTTTATGGGGAAGAAGTGTTATGAGGGAGTTCGCAATATTATAGGGGTAAGATTTTAGTCCTGGCGGAGAACGCTTTTCTGAAACAAGAATTCAGTTTTCTGAACCAAGAATTCAGTACAGGAAAAATTAAAAAATCTAGAAAAAAACTAATCTAATAGAAAACAGACAGCAAACAAATTTTAGAAACCAAAAAAAAGTAACTGAACATACCACGTAAATTGACACTCCATGTTGGGTATCCTCTGAAATATCCCTCTCTATTATGCCCTGGGGGAAGTAGGGTGCATTGTCGTTCGAGTCAGTCACATTGATTAGCACACTGCACTTGTCCGAGAGGGGCTTCTGGAAGTCATTCAGCTGGATGGCGTAGACGTCTAACTGGTAACTGCGCACCCTCTCAAAGTCGAGCTTCTCATTCAGAAAGATGGAACCTACAAAAAAATGATGAAAAAACAATCGATGAATGTATTTCTTTCGAGATAATTCCTTTCAAGCTATAAATCGAAAAATTGCGAAAAATTCATTTAAGGTAACAATTTTTCAATACAACTATCAACTTAATTAAAATTTTGACTCCAGCCGATAAACGCCGCTCCAACCAGAAACCTAGTTAATTATTATATAAGCTTAGAAAACTAATTAGATATTCCTGCCCACGAACTATTTATTTTTTCAAGCTGCTTTTCTTTTTCGTCAAACAATTTTAGTTTAAAAAAAATTCAACTGCGTTTTTATAAACCTAGAAACCGATAAAACAAACCGTTCGAGCTGTTCATGTTGAACAACTTGTCATCATTTCCGTTCACAATCGAATACGAAATCGGGAATTTCTCGCTTTCCTCAGAAGCCACCGCAATCACGCTCAGAATTTGAGACCCGGTTTCAGTTGCTTCAGACACAAACACTTGGTACACCATCTGTTCAAATTGAGGAGGTTTATCTTTCGAACTTCCAACTCTGATGGTAATTTCAGTCGTACTTGAGAGCCTTGGAACCCCTTGATCGTATGCTTCCACTTTCAGGACATACTGCTCAGCTGATTGGTCGAGAAGTCTAGCCAATGAAATCATTCCAGAGCCAGTGTCAATGTTGAAACGTGCATTGGCTGAATCTATGAGTCGGTATTCGACGGTTTTATTCTCTTTCAAGTCTCTGTCAATTGCTCTAACTTTGGTTATTAACTGGTTAATATGAAAGGTTTCAACAACCGCTGCTTCCGAATGTCCAACGAATCGTGGAGCATTGTCGTTGCAATCTAACAGAAACACCAGAAGTTTGATGGTGCAGAAGAGACCTCCGCCATCGGTCGCTCGGATCCAAAGGTCGTACCGGTCCTCGGATTCTCTGTCCAATTTTTCAGATATTTTCAGGATCCCGCTATCAGGTCCTATTGAAAATGGCGGACGCAGGTTTCCTTCGGGAACAACAATAGAGAAGGTGATCTTGCTGTAGGATCCCGCATCTATGTCAATAACATTGGAACTGTAGTCGAAGATTGTCGTGCCAATTGGGGTGTCCTCGGGAATTTTGATTTCCTTCGGTTCCTTAAAAGAATATTTATTGCTTTTGACCGAATAACGGCTTAAAAGAACTACCATTAAACTGCAGCTAATGATAACCAAGAAGATGAAAAAAATACATGCTCGGAATTCTAACAGTTACGTATTTTTTTGTGAAAAATCTATAATAACATTTAATCAGCAGTTACAGTAACATTATAAAATTCTGACTACAACGATGATATTGGTATTTAATCAGACTCTCTAGGTAATTTTTAAAATAAAATTCAAAACTAAACATTAACAGTCCCAGCAATATTTTGATAACAATGAAATTGCATGTTTGAGCCGCATGCGAACGTGAATCATTAAATTTTACATACCAGTCCCTGTAAACATTGAAAACAGTTTGAAATTATAGTCACTGAAAATATCACAGGCAGATGAATTTCAAAATATCACAGGCATGATTGATCCCATGTTTCACTCAGGTGCGGATCTAGGATTATCTCGAGGGGGGGGGGCGCATTTTCAAAAAAAGAAATTCGAAAGTTTGTCGACCTTTTTTTTTAGGTCGACCAAAATGATTTTGCTAGCTCTCTCAAAGCACTAAAAAGTGCGTTTTGGCAAAAACTTTTGTGCCGCAGGCAAAAGTTTGAAAAAACAGGCCAAAACGGCGTGTTTTTAGGCATTTTTTGAAAAAAAAAATTGAAAAATTGTGTTTTTTGGCTCGCGTTGCCCCCTAAAATTAGTACATATTGGCGCCAAAAGAAAAAATTTAGGTTCCATCAGCCCAAAATGGATATCTCAAATTAGTGCAAAGGTAGGACCCTTTGGGTCGGCAGATGAATAAGCGAAGACAAGGAAAAATGAGAAAAAGAGCTCGCGAAACGCATGCAAACACAAAAATAAAGCTTGCAAGACAATTTCAAAGGTTTCTGAAGACATCGGGACTCGAATCTTAGAGCTTCTGATAAAAAGCAATCTCTAATCTAACCTAAACTATTAATCCCCTCTACTTTATCATCACAAAAATACAACACAGAGGCGAACAAAAATACAACAATTAACCCAAAGTAATTGAGCTTATCGCAAATGTAAGTTAGCAGATATACCTCATGTTATTTGAAATCACAAAATAGAAAATAAAAGTCAGAGGAGTGGAAAAACCGCTTTTTGTTAGTTTAAACCTAGCCACACTACCGCTAGGTACTATCGCTAATCAATATCGGGTACGTTTATGGCATCTAATGCTCTTGAAAAGTCATTAACTGATATCCCGAAAGAAAGCTCAAATTTTGCTTTTGAGATCTGAACACTGTCGGGTAGTCGCATTTAAAATAATTGTGAGGCTTTAATTTTCACAACTTTGTTATAACTAAAGTTTATCACGTTTGCTAAATAGATAGAACAAGTGACGAAATTTTTCGACCATTTTTGGACAATATTTTTCAAATCGTTGGTAAAATAGCGTTTTTACCAAGCACACTAATCTTTTCATTTTTACCTCAATTAACGCTAATCAATTTTCAAAACAATATTCGCCAACGCTGTTTTGTCACATTTTCTAACACAGAGGCAAAGCTGTGCTTCTCAAACACTCGCGAGAACACGGCAAAAAGCCGCTTTATAAAGTGAAAGAAAAAAAATATTGAAATGAGTCTCGAAATAAAAAACCTAAGCCAGGAAGGCTTAACTATCAGCAAACACTAGTTACAAATAAAGCAGCTACATATGCTAATAAATTGCCAATGCCATGCAGCAAAAGTGGCACCTAATACAAATAGACACAATGCTGCAAATAATAAGTCGGAACATAGAAAAAACTGAAGGCATCCACACTAAGTTTGCAAGTAAAAAATTGGAAATCATAAATCCTCATCATGTATAAATTACGCATTTAAAAAAATTGCTCGATATAATGAGTTAGAAAATTTCTGAAACCGAGTTTTTATTGTTGTTATGTTGTTATGTTGTTCGTACTAATACACTAACGCTCACAAAAGTTGGCTAGGGTAAATGAATTGTACAGAATTAAAAACGAAAAAGCGGCTTTCACTGGACAAAAAATGCGTGTTATAACAGAAGTTTCTGTACCAATAGCTCAGCGCGTGTAAGCAAGACAGCCAATTTATTTGCCGACAATCCTGTATTCTGACAATCCTGTATTCCAAACTGACAATCCTGTATTTCAACTAATTTTCAACGGCAAATATTTTTTAAAATGTTACTGAAAAACTGAGACAATGTAGGCAATAACAGGTAAAGTAATAATAGAATTTGCGTCTTATAAGTCATTATTTGCTCCAACTTGCTTTTCAAAAAAGCGTCAAAGATTTTGAAAACAGCTTCGAAAAAAATTGACGCGCATATGGAATAACTTATGATGGAATAAAATGACCCTTTAAAATTGGCTACAACGATCTCTTCATATGCCATAGACCGTGGGTTTTAGCAGCCACCAGCACGTATTAATGAAGAGAAATAAGAAAATCCTGTCCCGTTTTTGCCACTTTTGTACTGGTTTTTCGACCGAGTTCTATTCAGCCTTGATTAAGTCTGAGACCCAAAAAGAAAAACTTGTCTCATGGACCAAAACTAAAAATGTTGGCTAGCGTGCGCCGAATTATCATTGAAGCTGTGCCCTTAAAAAGAAAGCGTTTTGTTGTAAAGTTTTGATGATCGATAACGAGCAACAAAATTTTTCATCATGAGTCCGATTGTATTGCTGGAAATATATATAAATTGAACTTTTTACTTACATATTGGAAATTGAGTGCACGCAAAGTTTTCCGAGGACAAAAATTATCGTAACAGTCTTCGCTAGTTGCACGGAAACCTATCTACTACTCTTTGTGTCATCAAATATATCTTAACATAATAAAGTCAGTGTTATCAGTGATATTTTTGTGTTATCAATTATATCAAATTATCAATGATATATTTGTGTTATCAAATATATCGTAACATAAAAAAATTCAGTCACCTGAGTGCACTGAGGTGCATTGTCGTTGTCATCGGTGATGATGACCTTGACCTTCTTCTCGTCATAATACTTTCCGTCCGTGGCCACAATGACCAATTCGTATCTAGTGGCCCTTTCTCTGTCCAATCTGCCATGCACATACACATCTCCAGTGCTCTGGTTGATATTGAACTTGCTGTCCTCATTTCCGGCTAAAATTAAGATTTTTGTAAAAATTAAAACATTTCATATAAATATAATTGACAGCTCAGAATGACAAGTATCATTGCAACGTATCTAGCAGTGACGTGTATCTTTGAAGCAATCTAGCAATTGTGAGCTATTTATTAATTTACACAAAGTTATTTAAATTCAAACGCGTTCAGATTATTGCTAGGTAGAATTTCTGAAAAAATTGCTAAAGTAACATTAATATGCCTTTTTCTTAAGGCGTGTCGATTTCGTTATCTGAAACAACATAATGCAGGTAGAAAAAATTGGTTGTGATTCTTAGGATGTGATCAATTGGTACACAGAATAACAGTGCCAAAGAAACCAATCAAAGAACACCTCAACAAACCAGGATGATTTCACACCAGGCAAGACAACACGATAAAAACGTAACGTCCACATTTTCAGGAATATTTTTTTTCTGACACCTGGTTAATCGACGTCATTATGAAGGCTACCATCGTCTTGTACAATCCACTTAAAATTTTCATATTTCAAACTTTTCTGACAATGAAAAATCTGAATATAATAACAACTTTTTTTGGTATTGGCGCAGAGCAAAGGCTACCGATGAAAGGCACGTTATAGTCATTTTCTAAGTTTTTACGCAAAAACAATTGAAAAATTCAGTTTTGATTTCAACTGTTGACATTTATTTTGCCTATAAACTTGATTTTATGAAGAAGCAGGCTTGAATTGATTAAATTAACCTTAGCATTCAGGTTTAAAAACATGAAAGCTTCATTCCAAGCCATGAAAAATCCATTTGGCCCATGAAACAAACCCACTTGAAAGCTTATTCGGATTTATCGACCATTTATACGTGAGGGCATTGTGCTGTGATTACACTTCTATCTTTGGGTGACGCAGTGGACTTGAACTGGGCTTTATTCAGGGGAGGATTAGGAGATTAGACGATCATTTAGGCCGATAAGACAACTACTGGTCGGTTTGCATTTTTATGTCTTATCACATCTAATCCAACAGCACAGACTGAAGACAACAATCGATAAAGAGCTGCATGACCTATTCTTCAGATATTCGCTTAAAAAAGCTAGTCTTAGAACTTTGAGGCGGTAAAATTTGATCTAAGAGTGTGGTTATTTAGTAAGGTTACATGTGATAAATAGTTTCAGCAATTTGCACAAAAAATACCTAAATACAGAAAATACTTCTTGTTTGGATAATCAATTTAATTTATTTCAACTCTTATTTTAAAAAAAATCAGTTCCTTGAAAACTCAGTTTCTTAAAAATTTCTGGAAGCTTCAGATCAGTATCTGTATCCTGAAACCAACATAAAACAGTTTATTTACAAATAGCGCATTACAATAAGTCAAAATATTTAAGCTCGTTGACCAATCACAATTCAGCGGATGACAATTAAGCCGATGAAAACATGCAGAAAACCCAACACACCATTTAAAATGTGATCTCACAGTTAAGCCCATGAACTTGATAAAAAGCAGTTATTTCATCTAACTAACTGAGCTGATTATAATTATTTAGGGGAATTATTATTAAACTGTTCGGGAGGGTTTCTAATATGCGACTGAGCTACTTAAGCAACTTCCGACTGTTTACCTGTAGACGAATCATTTTGGTATGCTGTACTATCTAAATTCACAAAACAACATTCAAATCAGTTGAAAAACCACTTAGTCAAGCAATTAACTAACATATTATTCGATAACTAAAGCATAACAAAAATTCCTAATATCTCAAAAATCAAATGTAGGTTTTTCATATCCATGGTAACTTCATGAACTCTTATTATATATTGATACTTTGAAAATTATAACACATTAAGCTCATAGCTCACCAATCTAAAAACTACATAAGCTATGATGCAATAATCTACAGACTACGAGATATATGACGTAATAATATCTTATCTTACTCTGAATGTAGTAGAAGACGAAATTATTTGGAGGCAGATCTTTATCGTGTGCGTGCAATGTCATCACGACTGTTCCGACCTCAACACTCTCATTCACTTCCAATTTGGCTTCTCTCTCCGCAAACAAAGGCGAGTTGTCATTCAGGTCTAAATGTAGTCAAAAACAGAAATTAGAAAAATTATATTTTGAGCAAAAGGAAACTGAGTCGGCATTTGAGCTTTAGGATCTATTTTAGAAATATTTTTTACCAATAAGGCGATAAATTTCAAAGAGAAAACATTTCGTAGATACAGCGTCTTTCAAAGAGCATTGAATAATTCTCAACATCAATTGATTCCGACATTACACTTGAAGATGCCACAACAAGCGTTTCCCAACTAAAACAAGAATGGCCGGTTGCTCGCTCTTGTCACGTAAAATGAGACTAAAAACTCAAAAACAAATCAGACCAGTTTTTCCTCGCATCAGCGCCAAGCCTTGAATTTTTCGATTAGATTTTATTCTATCGTTACTGGTTTTTATTAAAAAAATTGAAATATAAATTTAAATGAACATGAAACAAATTAATATATATATATATTTTTAAAATTATTCTCCCAAGAAATATCAATGTTAGAGGAAATGTAATTCGAGCCAAGCAATGCACTATTGGGACCACATTTTAAGCTTAAGCAAACTACCAAGCGTTAAGCTGGTAACTTTCTGCTCCGACCACTAAAGTGAAAAAGAGCTCTTTGTCTTGGGCGTGTTTTAATTTTTCTCCACACAAAATCAGCTATTACACAGAGGCGAAGCTGCCCCTCGAAAACTCTTGCGAGAACACGACCAAAGAGCAGCTCTATCAAGTGAAATAAAAAAAAGTAGAAATAATCCTCGAATTAGCAAAATCTCGGCTTCGAGTAGGATTCGAATCTGCGCCCTACTGCAATCAAGAGATTTTGACTCTCACACACTATCCACTCAGCCACGCAATCTTAACAACCGATAAACACTAGTCACATATAAAACAGCTACATATGCTAATAACTTGCCAATGCGATTTTCCAAAAGTGGAACCAAATACAAATAGACTCAATCTTGCATGTAATCAGTTGGAATATTACAAACTAAAGGCATCCACACTAACTTTGGATGTAACAAACCGCAAAGCACAAAGCCACATTATTCAAAAATTATGCATTTCAAAAAATTCTGAGATATATTGAGTTAGAAAATGTCTGAAATCGAGCTTTTATGATTGTTAGGTTGTTTGAATTAAATCACTTTTTTCGGTTCATTTGATGAATTGAAAATGCATCAACTGTGTTAACTTCTTACTATTCGAATGTGAAAGCATATGCTATCAAAAAGCTGTAAAGGTGCCCCAAAATTGGCACCAATATTTGCGACTTAGGTCGGTAAAAAGAAGGTTCGTACTAAAACACTCGCTTCGCAAGTAAAATAAAAAGCAGTTAAATTATATATCATATTAAATTTTTCTCCATTGATATTTTAAAGCTTCCAAAAATTACTAAATGACGTAAAAAATTGGTCTGAAAATATTGATTTTTACAGCAGTGAAACAAGAGAATCTAGTGAAAATCTGCAAACTAAGCTGCAAAACAATGAAGTTAACGAGAGTATATTTTACTTCCTCTTCTCATACTACGCACAAAGAAACGTCAAAAATTGGAAGGAAAAAAACCAAAAAACGGTGTTTTCTATGGTGGCTTTTTTAAAAACAAGTGTGGTCGGAACCTCTACGTGATATTTGAGCAGTAACCTGCAATTCATTTTTAAATTGCTCACGAAGTTAAAAAAAAATTATAAAGCAAATTAGCCTGTTTTGCCGATCAAACATTCAAATATAATTTTAGACTTTTTAAACTTTGTTTTGTCAAAAAAAAAAACTAATATTCACAAAATTGAGCAAAAAAGTTAACCAGGTAGTTTCAGCATAATTTCAAAGCAAAGGTATTGGCCCGTAAAAGCCCATTTTTCGGTCTAGTTTTGCTTCATTTTTTGCAAAAAAAGAACACCAAATTAATTTTTGCGAGACTACAAAATTTAACCTAATTTGAAGAAACGCACGTAGCCTTCCGAACGTTTGTTTTGTCCGTTTAATTAAAATCAGCAAAATATATTTGGTCCAGTGATGGAAATTGACAAATGATAAAACTGAGCTCCACGACAGTTGCGATACAAAACAAAGACAGCATTGCAAGCTAGCAGATAGAAAATGAGACAAAAACGACAAAGTCGAAGAAATCATTTTAAAACATGTCGAAAAAGGGCATTTACAAAAATTTCATACGTTTGTCTCAAATAATGCCCAATTTGAAGAAAACATGTCGAAAAACACAATCATCAGCCACATAAACATTCTGAGATATATTGAGTTAGAAAATGTCTGAAATCGAGCTTTTATGATTGTTAGGTTGTTTGAATTAAATCACTTTCGGTTCATTTGATGAATTGAAAATGCATCAACTGTGTTAACTTCTTACTATTCGAATGTGAAAGCATATGCTATCAAAAAGCTGTAAAGGTGCCCCAAAATTGGCACCAATATTTGCGACTTAGGTCGGTAAAAAGAAGGTTCGTACTAAAACACTCGCTTCGCAAGTAAAATAAAAAGCAGTTAAATTATATATCATATTAAATTTTTCTCCATTGATATTTTAAAGCTTCCAAAAATTACTAAATGACGTAAAAAATTGGTCTGAAAATATTGATTTTTACAGCAGTGAAACAAGAGAATCTAGTGAAAATCTGCAAACTAAGCTGCAAAACAATGAAGTTAACGAGAGTATATTTTACTTCCTCTTCTCATACTACGCACAAAGAAACGTCAAAAATTGGAAGGAAAAAAACCAAAAAACGGTGTTTTCATTGGTGGCTTTTTTAAAAACAAGTGTGGTCGGAACCTCTACGTGATATTTGAGCAGTAACCTGCAATTCATTTTTAAATTGCTCACGAAGTTAAAAAAAAATTATAAAGCAAATTAGCCTGTTTTGCCGATCAAACATTCAAATATAATTTTAGACTTTTTAAACTTTGTTTTGTCAAAGAAAAAAACTAATATTCACAAAATTGAGCAAAAAAGTTAACCAGGTAGTTTCAGCATAATTTCAAAGCAAAGGTATTGGCCCGTAAAAGCCCATTTTTCGGTCTAGTTTTGCTTCATTTTTTGCAAAAAAAGAACACCAAATTAATTTTGGCGAGACTACAAAATTTAACCTAATTTGAAGAAACGCACGTAGCCTTCCGAACGTTTGTTTTGTCCGTTTAATTAAAATCAGCAAAATATATTTGGTCCAGTGATGGAAATTGACAAATGATAAAACTGAGCTCCACGACAGTTGCGATACAAAACAAAGACAGCATTGCAAGCTAGCAGATAGAAAATGAGACAAAAACGACAAAGTCGAAGAAATCATTTTAAAACATGTCGAAAAAGGGCATTTACAAAAATTTCATACGTTTGTCTCAAATAATGCCCAATTTGAAGAAAACATGTCGAAAAACACAATCATCAGCCACATAAACATAATCAATTGTCGAAGAGCAACTGAGCTGACAATACTTGCTCAGACGCTCGTTGAATCGAAAATAAAATTATAAGCATAAAAAAATTTGATCCATTAAGGTTCGGAACTTAAAGCTTTGCACCCCTACCTATTAGAAAAAAGCAAAAGCATACAAATCTTTGTTCATTTTGCCCTTCAAACAAAGAAGTATAAGGTGACTAACTCAATATAAATTATGCTGAAGTCATTTAAGCAAAAAAAAAACAGGAAATAAAATAAATACGAATTCATACAATATCAGATTTGGTAAATTTGAAGGATCAATACCAAATCATTGGGTAAACTGGAAATAATATTCATGTTTTAAAAATTAAGGCCACAAAAAAGCAGACAAACAATAGTCTGACAATTCAAATTTCCCAGAAAAAAATTACAATTTCCACGCATCGAAAAAAAACAAGGCCCCTGCCGATACTCAAACCCCAAAACTTAGGATTCCCAGGCAGGCAATTTACTACTAAATGGAAGGGGACTGGAAAATATTGAGTTTTGATAATGAAACAAGGTCAGTTTCATACAGATTTGTGGGAAAGCTGTTTGGCTGAAAAAGAATACTTGCGGTTACAAGTACACTAGCTCTTGCAAGTTAAACAATCAATTCTTTAATCAGAGATTCTAGAGACATCTCATTGCATACCTATAATAGTGACATTGACTACACTGGTGTCAATCAACTGCAGCCTGCCTCTGTCCACAGCACTGATGGTGAGGAGATAGGAGTCCCTCTCCTCCCTGTCCAGAGGTCTGGTCACATATACCCGGCCAGTGGTAGAGTCCAGGTCGAAATACCCATTCGATGCCTCACCACTCATCGTGTAACTGCAATAACAAGAGAGTGAATACTATGGTACCGTAAAGAAACACGGCGCGCATTTTTGCAACTAAGCTAAATCTAAATAAAAAATGAATCTCTTTAACTATATCATCATGTTGCAAAATGGGGCAAAACTTGTTACTAAGCAACAACATTTGCATATTCTGAACTACTGAAAAAGTCCCATATACTTCGGGGTGAATCTTATTCAACACGTATGATAGGGCTGACGGATAGCTGAACAGATTCCAAAAAACTGCGGTGCCGATGTGCTTTTTCGGAGGGTATACCAATCAAATTAATTCCAGACAAAATCATCATTGAACCAGAGGCGAAGCGGAGCTTCGCACCACTTGCGATACAGCACAAATATAGCATGTCAAAATAGCAGATAGAAAATGAGACGAAAAACGCTGATTTGAAAGCAGCGACAAAAAATCCATTTGAAAAAACATCGAATACAATTAGATCTACAATTCATCTCTTTGTCTTGATTTTGTGTCAGTTGAAGTTTATTTTAAGGAGAACATTCAAAATGAGACAATTGAATTTTAAACAGAGAGGCGATGTGGAGCGCACATCACTAGCGGCGACACAAGTCAAGCGCAGCATTGCAAGCTAGCGAATTGAAAATGAGACGGAAATAACAAAATTGAGAAAAATGTATTTATATTTTTCTTTCTGGGAAAAAATAAAAATAATTTCAGCAAAATACTCAAGAAACACAACCACCAGATTTAAATAGGCTGCTATATTTACCCAGCGGCCGCTAAGCCGGCAAAAAAAGCGGCTAGACCATTGAGCCGAAAACAAAAAAAATGTCATAAAAAATTGTCATAAAAATTTCGTACATTTAAAAGTCAAAATTTTGAAATCTTGCTGCAAAAACTACCTGAATTTTTTTGGCAAAAAAATTCAACTTCATTCAGAGTGAAAAAAGTACGCTCCAGCGGGGACTCGAAACCTCAAACCTTAGGTTTCAAAGGCAACCGCGTTACCTTGAGGCCAACGCGGAAGGGGTATCCAAGGAGTCGCTAAGGTTCACTGAAAGCATTTTTACGATTTCTTACTGTTTTACTTACTGTCTTGCTTATAAGAAAAGTTGATTGCGGTACAAAAAATAAGTGTAATTAGCGGTGTCAGGACGAAAGCTACCATACCAAAAGCTCCCATGACAAAAGATACACTACCAAAAGATCCCTTGTAAAAAATTGCCCATACCATAAAATTTTATGCTAATTAAAAAGATCCCATGAATTATGAAGAAAAATCATGATGAAAGTGTAAGCAGAAATAAATCTAGAGTAATTATATCTCAATTAGCTATTAAAGAACAACGCAAATATAAGATAACTTAATTTAAAGTGGACTCATTTTTGGGACTAAGATAGTGCCAGCATGTGTTTCATTTAGTGTTAATATGGCATTGAAATAGAACAACTCAACTGAGAATGTATACACTCTGCATTCATTATCTCACTCTTTAACTCATTGAATGGTCAAAAACGAACTCTTTCACTTGGGGAACCTCACAAAAAAGCCAAACACTGATTATTCTTGACGGCGTTCAATTTAAAAAAAAACGCGGTACGAAAACAACAACACACTGGCGCTCCAGCAAATGGAGATCGTATAAATGCCCGAAAACTTTAATCACTTGTGGGTGCGAAATAATCTCACAGAGCAACGAGCATAGTCATGAGCTCAACGCAGGACGCTCAGAAGCTCGGCAACTAGTTCGGCAAACGAAGGAGACGGTTAGGAACCAACTAAATCCAGTAAACAGCCAGATCATCGCAGCTAGTTTGCAATTGGTGCAGGACGACAAATCAACCCAACTGTCTTTGCCTTCCCAGTCGGCGATAACGCGATTTTTGAACAGAAGTAAACAAACGACATCCCTGCCCACTATTGCCACAGATGACCGTCATTTCGAAATACCCGATCTTTTGAAGCACTTTTGTCTTTTTGATAGCGGATAACAAGATACGGAACGCATAATAATTGTTGAAAATTTTTTTGATCGACTTTGAAATTGCGCCATTGAGTGCTTTTGCGTCTCATTGAAACTGACATCAAGGGATGCTATTTTCACCTTAGTCAGAGCTTTATGCGGAAAAGATCCGAATTGTGCCTTAAAAACACTTACGAATCAAACAGCGAGCTAGTCTTAGCGCTGAATATGGTTCCTGCGCTTAGTTTTGTGCCGGAGTCAAAAGTGGAAATCGGGTTCGACCAAACTGGACATTTTACAAAACGATCTCGAAAAATTAGACGAGCTCACGGCTTATTTCCAAAAAACGTACATTAAAGGGGATTTGATTGGCCGAAAAACACTCTTTCCTATTTCTTTATGGAATAATTATCAGAATGCTGTGTGTGGTCTAGCCCGAACCACAAATGCAGTTGAAGGGAGGCATCTAGAAGTAACCGCTTTGCTTCAAGGCAGCCATCCTTCAATATATATGTTCCTTGAAAAAATTCAACTGGATTCCTACAACCAAAAACTCAATATTTTGAAGGCATTTAGCGGTACTATCAACTTATCTAGGAAAAGGTACCGTGATCTGAATGGAAAAGTTCAACAGTTAACTAGTTCATACACAGACTCTAACTTATTGTCTTATATTCGTTCACTTGCCCAACCTATTAAATTTTGTTTTAGTTTTTGCCTAATTTCTAAATTAAACTTGTTTGATCAACTTTTTTATAGACGTCTCCCTGCGCCCTCTCGGAGAACGCCAAAACGCAATACTACGATTCGCATTCGAAAATGCTGTCTCTAGCATTTTGATCCCAGAGCAATTGCCCTTAATTACGGGACGCTATGTTGAGGATAGGGGCCTGATGGCCCTTTGAGTATTGCGTTAGCGAAAAAAAAAATTATCAAAATTGAGCATTGATATTTTGTACCAAATAGAATGGCAAATGATTCCTAATGAAAATGATTTCGAAGCTTTAAAATTTTGCAAAAACTCAATTTCAATTTTGCACAGACTTGAGTTGTCTGGAAAATCAGACCATTTTTGGCAAAGTTGGTTTTGATTAATTGGAAACCCTTTTCAAATTCATTTGTAGTCTAAGCTGTTTTGAAGTTTGAGTTTCAATTTGAAGGCCAAGTGATTGGCAAGGTCATTTATGTTCGAAACTTAAGCAGCAAAATTTTTGCGTTGTCTTTGATTTTAACCGACGCTTTGTTTTTGCTTTGATTGATTAACCGCTTTATTTTCAATTCTCAGATTCTTTGTTATTTTATTATGGTATCTTACGTCGTGGGCGATTTTAGAACGAGGTATCCTTTGAAATGGTATCTTATTGACTAGGATCTTCTCGTTTGGGATCTTAAGATAAGGGATCTTTTGTCATATAGCCGTAATTAGCATCCAAGCAAAAGTGATATTTAAGTTACCCTTCAAATCATGTAGATAAGAAACTTTGTTTGTTGATCAAAAGACGCAATATGAGGCCACTAAACCGATATGATAAAAACCAAAATCTATTAAGACAAAAAAAGCTCATTTTGTCTGTTAGTTGAAAAGTACGGATTTGGAGGAGACCATCAATTTCAGTCATCCTGTGCGCAACGTTATATAGGAGAAAAATTCTAGTATAGCTTTTGCAATACCCTTGCTCATCGCAAGGGTAAAAAATTGGTCACTGGTCACAAGAGCATGGCCATGATTCAGCATTAGAATTCTGGTATAAAATTGAAACGAATTTGTCTGCGGCTGTTTTGCCGCAAAAATTAATGCGTTTGAGATGGATCTGATTGATGGAAATTTGACTGCGAATATTTTGATCTAAACTGGTTTGGACAGAAGTGTCAACTAGATTTAGTTGCCTTTACTTAGTTCGCTGTGACTTGTGACTGTGAACCGTGGTCTATTAATTAGACAATATCTATAACATCGAGACTACCTGGTTACTGCACAAAAAGCACAGAGAGTTCCGATGTCACTGTAAAAATCTTCAAATGAGAATTCATCGAAATAGATTCTGTGAAAATTGAAAAGAAAATCCTCAAGGCCTGAATTTCCATTGTAGAAAATAAACGCATAGATTTATGATTTGCACTAGGTTTTATTGGACTGAGATTATATCTATTTTTATCCCTAATTCTCGCAATTGTTCATTAGTCTTCTTCAAAACGACAAATTTATTGCTTGAATTTAATCTTGAGCAGGTAATCGAAGTATGCCGGCAAAAGACCCTTTAATTCATCAAATGATCGATCATTTTGTCATACTAAGAGAATAAGGGTAGGGCCACGTTTGATATCGATACTTAGTATTTATATATTAGAAGAGAATTTGCTTTTATAACAATTTATAAGAGCGAGCCGTTTTCCAGTTCGATTTTAATAACTCAAAATTTGAAATTTGACCTCTTGCTATCCAATGTTGTCTGGTACTCACAAGTAACACCCCAAATATGCCGATTTGACACTGATTTTGAATTAAAGACGGTACAGCTATAACTTATTGTTTTAAAATTGTTCACAAAAATAGCATAATTTATCTTTCATATATGCTTTATAGGGTACATCTTATATGCTACAGGCTACTTCATTTTTCTTAAATGAAGAAAAAGTAGTGGTTATTTGACCACAAGATTCCGACTTTGAAAAATATTAAGCTGAAAAAATATCATAAAAACATCCTTATTTGGATATAGTCAACATTATTGATGAAAATCCAAGTCTTTTCTTCATAGCAGGTTATATGCTCCTTAAGCTTGTGGCGCTTATTGACGTTGCCTCTGGAAAAAAAATCATCTTAAAAAACATCCAAAAAGGCAGAAACTTCATTTCGAAGCGTTCAAGAACTAACATGATCTGTCCGTTGGCCCCATAGTCGCTGTCTGTAGCCGAGACTGTGATCACGTGACGTGCTGTGTCGGCAGCTATCTGGTAGAAATCCTCGGGAAGAGAGATGGAGTACACTTGTGACTCAAACTTGGGCGCGTTGTTGTTCTCGTCTAGGATCTATAAAAATGTATTATAAAAGTAGCCGATTGCTGCACAAGCACCACAAAATTTTCAACTATACTTATTGCGACCAAAAATCAAATAATACAGTCTGTTTTCTCAAAAACAGCTCGTCGATTAGAAATAGCTTTCGATAATGGGAAGCGTATTGCATTTAAAAGTATTTGAATATGCTTTTGGATGAAACCGTCGTTTGCTTCAAATTTGGAAAACCATTAACTGAAAATTGAATTGAAATACTTGAAATCTCAGTTGAATAAAAACAAATCTGAAACTTGCCGAAAGAAAACAATACAAAAACACGAAAACGAAATAAAAAAATACAAAAAACATCAGGCTGAACTTTTGTCTCGAGTGAAAATCAATTTCAGAAAAAAGTCGAGAAATGCAATTGAATTGGCATTTAAACAACAATTATTAAAACGTAACTAAGCTGAAAATACAGAATTACATGACCATTGAGCACATAAAAAGTATCATATTAAATGTTCAGCAATAAAAAATTTAAAACTCCTAGTTTTTAGGCCTAATCCCAAAAACTAACAACATAAAAATATATTTCCGCCCTGCAAACGACGTTTTATGCGGCAAATCAACCGATTTAATTTAAACCGACACTATATGCGATAATTTTGCAAGTTGCAGTACTAATTCAAAAACAAAATTTAATTATTCAATTAAAGCTGAACTGCTTAAATCAGAAGAAAAAACCACTCTTCTGAAAAAAACCAATAAAAACAAACAAAAAAGCGATATTCCCAGAACAAAAATTTACAACATAGAGGCGAAGCTGAGCTTCGCACCACTTGCGATTGAAAACAAACAAAAACACAAGTCCAAAAAATGGAAAATGTTGAAAAATACTAGTTCTAGGAAAAATTAAATTTTCGTAGGTCTCGATAGAAGTTCATTGTACATGCCAGAAATTTGAGTATTAAATTAGCAACGGAACAAAAGTTAAGAAGAGGAAACAAAGTCGACAATATTTGAGCAGACACAAGTGCAGAAAAAATGTGCTTTCATAAAAAATCTTTATAGTTTTAAGTCCCACCTGAGACTAGAATGAATAACACTTGCACTTTCAACTACAATGATGTGGAAACAATAAACGAAAAAAAAAACTATAAGAAAAGAAAAATCTGTGATATGGCAACTAAGCCGACAATCTTTGAGCAGACACCTGTTGAGCAGAAAAAAAATTGATAAAAAAATTTTAAAAAAATCAAATGCACCTTCCAGAACTTACAAAGAACAACACTTGAAAACGAATCAACGCTGGAAAACGATCAAAATTAGCTAGACGTAAGTAAAATTATAATATATATTTTTTCCGTAGCGAACAGAAAACAGAAGAAGTTATTTCACTAGTTTTTTTTTGTAGGAAAGTTGGAGAAAACCAAAAAATGCATAAGAAAACTTAGCAGACAGCAGTTCAACTTGAAGTTGCAAAACGATGAACTCGTCTAGCAATTAATGAACTCGTCTAGCGGCTATTTTTTATCCAGAAAAGCTTTTGAAACAGGTGAAAAAATGCACGAACTTCCAATTAGTAGATCGCTAAAAGCTTTAAAAACCTAGAACAAATTGATTTGGACATCAGCCTCTAACTCAGCTGTTTAATTTTATCTTTAGTTTGGTCTCAAAAACAAAAAAATTCGGACCATTTTTTCTTGACACGTTAAACTATGCATCATGTATCACACAAATGAGGTAAATATTCGAATCAGGTAAATATTTTTAATAGAGCTGGTTTTGTACTGAAGGCTCATCATACTGAGGAGCCTTCAGTTTAAAGCCAGCTCTATTAAAACAATTTTGAAAACGCCTCGGTGCCGAGAAAAACAGAATATTTTTGATTTGCAATCATTTCCGCGGATTGGCGTTAGTAGTCACATATTTTAACCTCAAGTAAAGATCTCAAAAACTAATTATTATGCAATCTTTTAATCTTATAAACCAATTTTTTGCAAATCTCGTAATCAACTTTATAGTCTTACTTCCCCTTTTCGGTAAAAAATATGATATTCAATTTAAACTTCTCGTCGTTTTTTCGAAGTTCGTTTGACAACAATTCCGGCAGCTCATTTTGTTCATTATTGTAATAGGTTTACAGGCTCAAGGTTCTGGCTTCAAACTTACAGTGAGTTAAAAGAGAAAAATCTTCTGAAATTTTCATAGTACTTCGAGAATTTCGATTAATCATATTATATTAATCGACCTTGTACGTCGTTAACTTGTCGTCAAATTCGTTGTACCTAAATTTGCGGGGGAAAAACAACCGAATTCAAAACTCCATCATGCCTACGGTGTTCGCGACAATTAAAGCACTGACCTTTATTCTGTATTCTTGGGATGAGACAAAAGCATTTGAAGTCTGAGCAACCACAACCAATGTTATTTCCTCAGTGCCTTGTTGGTAGTCAAAATTAGCTTTTTTGATGACTGATCCAGTCGAGTTGATTTCGAACATGTCTGGTCCATTTCTGGACATCCCAGGGGTATCCATGAGAGAGTATTGCATGGGATCGGTGTCAAGAGTCCTCGTCTAAAAAGGGGAATCAATCGGTTAAAAAATCAAAAATTAAGAAAAAAATACGACATACTTCATCCCAAAGTTATCCCTTGAATGATAGAAAGAAATGAAAAAGTATACTAGCTGAGGGTGTGTTTGAAGTAATCACTCAAAAATACTAAATTAACAGTTCATCACAATCATTTTTATCATTTCTATGGAATATTACGATTGTTTAGAAAATGAATTTAGATAGTTAAGGTGGTGATTTAACCAAATCATGGATATCCGATATGATCTTTAATCACATGACATAGTATCACATTATATGGTTTTACCTGTTTATTAGTTACTTTGATCCACATTTCCGGCTTAAAAACAGTCAATTGCGTAATTTATTCATCTTCTTTGAATTCATAATTCAGAACAAAAAATTCTTTGGAACAACACAACGAAAAACGACTTATTTATATTCAGATTGAATATTTGTAGAATCGGTGAAAACGTGTTTCAAATTTTCGTATTACCTCAACTGTGAAAACCACTGTTCCCAAAGGCGCCGTCTCGCTCAGTTGAATGACTGTATCGTTCGGAGGCGAAATGAACGTCGGCTTATCGACCCTCCCACTCCTATATGCACTCGTATCTCTCCTCGACCGTCTAGAAGCACTTTCGTCCTCTTGGGCTTCAGAGTCGTCTCGTTTCTGACGTGAGTTGCGTGACACGTAAACATCTACAGGGACGCTTTGGGTGTTTTTCGGGTCGCCCATGTCTGTGGCTTGCACGAAGAACTGATACGATATGATATCTTCTAAAACATTTGGGGTGAGATCTCAAAATTTTGCATGTGTTTTTTTAGAATCAAGGATATGAACGGTTTTAGTGGTTCGTTATCAAGATTTGGATGAGGTACCTAACACGATCGTATAAGAAGCTTAAAAAAGTAAGTAAGTTTTAAAGGGATGTCTTATCAGACCAATCAAACTGATTGCAAGAGAATGCATTTTTGAGCCAGAATCTTGCAAGTCCATCTTGACAACTTTGGATCATCTTCGAAATTAAAATCAAAGGAAATGATGAACATTTGAGCTGCTCAGCTCTTTTTCGAAAACTGCGGTTTGTATCATTATTTTATGGACTGGGAAATACTGCCCACTCTCAACCAAGAAGCATGGGTCATATATGTTGTCCTAGAAAAAACCGCCTACATTTAAAGGATCTTGTTAACTACCCCCTTGATGTTTTCTATGGAAAAGTATTTCATTTTTAAAATTCTATTAAAAATCTGCTTCAAAAATTGTTTCAATCTGGCACTTATGACTACTAAATCTACGGTGGAGTTATTTTTGTTAATCTTCATTAACACTTTCCAAATTCGTTAATAATTTACGGGTTTTATGGTACAAAAACTGGACGATATCTACAGTTTTTAGTATACATTGCATTACCAAAACTCCATTAGATTTCAGATGTCAATCATGGGTTCTACATTAAGTGAAATTTCGGATATTTTGCACTCAAATTTGAAGCTCATCTTCACTTATGATAGTAAAACACGCAATGTGTCACAAATTTACCTGAAATGTGAACGCCTGAAAGTAGTTTAGAATAATTTTGTTTTCGGATAAGTTTCTATAATTTGAAACATGCATTTAGATGGTAACAATCTCCAAATTACAAACTCACATGACACTACGCGATAACCCACGAGGACAGTTCGAGTTTAATTAATCAAAAAATGGCACTCATTAAAAATCATACCTGATGCAACCGCGCCTAAAATTTCAACAAAATTAATGAAGTTCACTGATCTCAGAAACTCATGAAGAATTGTATCAGTAGTACAGCACAAGGGAAAAACTGTTTTAAAATTTTGGCAAAATAGAGATTTTCAGAAGCCGAGTTTACCAGCAATATTTATTGACCAGAAATAGAATAAATTTGAAGAAAATTTTTTTAAAGCACCACCCGCGAAAATCAAAAAATAACCCGTAGCCAAACTATCAACTATTTTTGATAACTGCCGCTTATTTAGTCAACAATAAAGAATGAAAACAGTTCTAGAACTCTACTTTAAAAGAAGACTATGACGCATTTGAGAATTTTCGATTGTCACTAAAGTTTTATTAGAACAGATGGATCCAAATTGTTCTAACTGATTCAGTAATTGCTTTTTTATTGTCTAGCAATTGTTCCTTATACATGTCATAAATTGCTTTCCAATTAACCTTTGGACATGCCATAACCAGGATTGATTACGTACCTGGTCTACCGATGCGTTTCAAGATGGTGACTTTGCCGTTGGTGGGATGTACATGGAAGGTGTCCTGGATGTCCTGAGGCTGGTTGGGACTCAGAGAGTACTGCACCTCACTGTTCCTCCCGATGTCTCTATCGACTGCATGCACCTACAGAACAAAATATTACTCCTTTTTTATATCATAGCAGTTTGTTGCTTTAATCCTTCAACTATGTTCCAATTAGGTATTTTACATGAGGTAGAGACTAAAGGCTATCAAAGCTACGGAAATTTTGTGTTTCCAATTCGTCATGGTACTCAATTGCGGATATCAGGAAACTTCGATAAAAGCGATAGTTTGAGGCAAATCGGCAAATCTTTATCAGAAATTTTAGTGTGGTTTCATAACTTAGTTTTGCCGCCGCGAGTTATGAATGTTCTCAAAATTTTTCTTTTTGACAGTTGTAGAAGCTATTTTGCTCATATTTCTACACAGAGGTGAAACACAGCTTCGCATATATGCAAAACTCAGAAACATAGCATGGCAAGCTAATGGACAAAGAATGAGATTAAAGCTTAGAAATTTTAAAAGGGAGCCGTAAAAGACTACCAAAAATTTATTACGCTTGTTGCCATTTAAAACAACTAGATATAAATTAGCATCAAAACAAAACTTCGGCACCAGTAAGTAAGATGACAATACTTGAGCAGAAACCATTCGGGCCAGAAAACAAATTGTTGTCATAAAAATTTACCAAACAATTTTAAACTGAAACTCTAAGTCCCTCAAGAACACAACAACGCATAGGAAACTTTTTTTGCTATCCAGCGATGCAATATGAGTAGACAAATCCATTACATAAAAAGACACCATTTATTTCGAATAAAAAAAACAAAAAAAAACTGAAACACCAAACGGGATTAGATAGTTTAACAGCCAGCAAAAAAAATCGAATAGAAGAAAAGCTAAAATGCAAATATATTCAAAAAATTCCTGTTGTTGACAAAGTAATAGAATTGACCAAATGATTTAAGTGATATTGTTTGACAAGTTTTTAACATGAAAAAAGTGGAGGGTAATAGAGAATGTCGAAAAAATGAAAACTAAAAAGGAGAAAACGAGAACTAAGTAAAAAACGAAATCAGAAAAAAACGATTAGTTTGATAAACGATGAAGCTAATAACAATAACAACTGTCGAACCTAAAAATGAACGTTTCGATCGGACAAAAATGAAACAACGAAACGTATAGTTGAACGAAAGCTAATGAAATGAATAAAAAAGTACACCCTTCAATTTTTCTGAAAAATAAAGAACCCAAAAACAAAATGAATAAAATCTGGGGTTCAAAAAGAAATAACATCAAGGAAAAAATCAAAACCTTTAAAAATTACAGAAACTGATCATTTGATATTATTGTAGGATACTTCAGACTTGCTTAACTCCAGTCTGTCATTCAAGATAATTATCCGCGTTGAAACAAAATATGCTGCAAAGTAATGAAACGAACATTAAAAAATAGATTGTTGAAGACGAAAAATAAAGCATAAAATTTTTTTTTTAAAATGCGCAAAAAATCATGGACTCAAATATTTGCAAAAAGATCTATGTAAGACAAAAAGTTGCTGAACAAAGAGTGAAAAAGGTTTCGAATTTAATTCAGTGAAACGAACTGAAAAAGGCAAAACAACACTGACAAAAATTTTTAAAATGCTTATTAAAATGCCAAAAGAAGGTTTGTGCGGTCTACTTTGAAACTTCGAAAAAAAATCCCAGAAAAATTGTATCAATCTCAAACAAAACAGCTATGAAATTAATTTCAAAAAAGCAGGTAAATAAACAGAAAGAATTAAAGCCGACAACCAAGGCTGAAAGTCTATGCATTACTTAAAGCAGAGAAAAAATCAAAGTTTACGATGTAACAATGTTTACCATACTTATTAAAAACATAACCAACAGACAGTTGGAAAAGCGTCATAAAAGCAAGGAAACAGAAAAAACACTGACTGATTTTAAAAAAACTTCAACTTGCGAATTTCAGAGAAAAAATGTGACCTTAAGGCTCCTTGAATTTCAATTTATGATTGAACCTTTTTTGATAAAATTAACCCAACTTGAGAAAACTGGATCAAAAGGTTAACTCTTTATTCCGCTGCAAATTCTGCAAATTAAAATACATTTATCGTGAACATTAAAATTTTGTTGTTCTGTAGTTGAGTTTGCCTTGCCTTTACCAAAGGAAATGAAGTGAACTTGAAAAAAAATCAAAAGTCAAACCGTGAAATATCAACAAATTTTAAGAGCGTCAACAAGTCTTAAGACTTTTCCTGAAAAAAAAAACAAAGAAAAACAAATCACCAATACCTATATAAGACTATTAACTACGTTCATGAATCTCAAAAACATCAATGAAACACCTATATAGCATCTACGATCGCGCCTTAGTAAATGCTCATTTACCTGAATGACATTATGTCCAATCGGTAAAGGATTGTTCAACAGAGCATGGTAAGCTGCCCTTTCGAACTGTGGCACTTGATCATTAATATCCTTGACTCCTATGTTCACTTTGGCGAACGCATGTCGACCCATTCCGTCTGAAGCCATGATTCTCACCACAGTGTCCAACTCCGGATCTTCTCTATCAATAGGGACTCTCAAGAACATCTCGCCTGTTTTCGGGTCGATTCTGTACGTCTTTGCAACCTTGTCGCCTATGAGTGAATACGTTATCTCAGAGCATATGCCCTTATCGTTGTCGTAAGCTTTAACCGTGAGAAACGAGTTTCTTATATGGTACTCGGAGTGTTCGACTATATCTTGGTTCATGTAGTACTCCTGGTGGGAAAATCTGGGTGCGTGTCGGTTGATAGTTGTGACTCGAACTGAGACAGGAGCGAGTTTAGTATGAACTGTGTCCGAGGCAGTTACTGTTAAATTGTAAAACGGTTCCAACTCGATGTTGTCTGAATTGTCGATGTACAGCAGTCCTGAAAATAAAATGTCAAATTTGTAAACTTGAAGAAATTATATTTCAGTCAAAATAGAGGATATGAATAGGAAAGGGAAAAACATTCGCACATTCGCAATGTTATAACAGAAGTATTGTTTTAAGTATCTAGAAAAATTATTTTAAGACGGCTTTGTATGTGGTATTTAACAAGTTCACGAAAATGATGAATTTTTCCAAATTATCGGCCCAAATATCATATTTTTGCTCTACAAAGGCTCCATTAAACTTTCTCCTCAAAAATTCTGACTCAAATCTCAGAAGCTTAAAACAATTACCTTTATTCTTCTCGACATGGAACAAATTCTGCTCATTGCCACTTTTGATCTCATAGAACACAGAGTCTCTATTCACTATGTCCAGATCATACGCCTCCACTTTGCCCAGACAGAAGGGACGTGGTCCCCCCTCTGACTCATCGAAGTTGAGACTGTAGTGACTGTGGTAGAATTGGGGGGTGCAGTCGTTGATGTCGTTCACTGTGATGACAACTGTGGTGACGTCGAAGTGTTTGGTGTCGTGTACTTGCACCAGGAGCGAGTATCTGTGAGTATTTACAATTGGTAAATTCTATTTTAACTAGCAGCATATTTTCATGATTTTTTAATCAAAAAAACGCCCATCCCTCTTCTATTGTACCTAGAAATGAACTACCGCCCCTAAAACAAACTGAAAAAATTATTCAGATCCAAAAATATCGAACCTATTAACTAAACACCCCATTTGAGCCGGTGAGCGCTAGATATTCTTTTTTCAAATTAAAGATAATTTTGAGGCCTCTTTTTTCTAACTTCCATTTCATTTTTAAAATTATCTCGTTGTATCTTTGACTATGTTTCTATGCTTGGCGTTTCCTTTCCCCTCTGCATGAGCCAAACCTCGATGAACGCTTCTTGATTATACGAAGTTTTCTTGAAACAACCGATATTCTAAAATATATCCCCGACGAGTACTAAATATTATCAGACAATTTGCTGAGAACAGCTATTGTCCCCTGACTATAAAACTATCATTTAAAATCATTCATGACTAACTCGGATATCTTTTCTCTGTCCAGATGTCGTTTGGTGGTGATGACTCCAGACTGTTCGTCTATCTGGAAGTTCTGAGATCCCTCCGCACTGGCGATGATGATGTACTGCAGAGCTGCATTATCACCACTGTCAGCATCACGTGCCACCACTGAAAAAAAACACATAATATCAAAAAGGGTCAGGCCAAACAAAGAAGGTTGGAGTGGCGTCTTTGTACGTCATTCGCCTTCAACAGATTCAATAATAAGATAAGGACAAAAATAAGTCTTTAAGTAAGCCAATCGTAAATTATATTTATCATATCACTATAAGTATAATACAGAAGCTAAGCGGAGCTTCGCACAACTTGCGATACAACACAAACATAAAACAAAACATAAAACGTCAAAAAAAAAAGAAAAACGTTGAAAAAAAAACAAGGTGAACAAAAAATTTCCTATGTCTCGATAAAAGACAACATGCACTATTTCAGAAATTGGACTTAGCACAAAACTTAAGTTCTTTCTCTACTAAAATAAGTGAGAAAAATTAAAATTTTTGAGATGTTGAGTTTTCCCAAATACATAACATTTCTCTTGCGAAAAAATGAGGAGTCGCCACTTCTGCAGCAAAATTTCTTAGCCGGTTTTTTCGATTGAACTTTTCGTCTCGGATTTGATAAGGTAGTTTCTAAAAAACAAAATTCAAAAAGTTTTAAAAGACGGTCAAAAGTTTTTTGACTTTCCGAAATGTATAACTTTTTCAGCAAAAAAACAATTCATGGCCGCTAAGTAGAAAATCCTCGCGAAATCAGGTTTCGCGATTCACCACTTAACATAAGAATTGGTACGATAGTTTTCGAGTATAGTCAAAAAGTTTCCACAAAACGGTCAAAGTCAGACTTGTTTGAAGGCCATAAATTGTTCCTAAGAAAATTAGCGCAGCCAATTATAAAGCTGGGCTTTCACCAATCTGTTATTTCGATTTAACTAATGATATCAAATTTGTCAGGATAGTTATCGATAAACCCAAAATCTCGGATATGGGAGGGTAATTTTCGAGAAAATTCAAAGAGTTTTGAAAAAAAAAACGGTCAAAAAATCAATCATTTGACATTTCCAAGGGCGGTAACATAGTGTGTAGAAAAAAGTTGTGAGAGGCCACTAATGCAGGGGGCTTTCCAGTGCTCTTTATCTCTACTGAAACCACAATCTCAGATTTGGAAGTTATTTTTCGAGAAAAATAAAAAAATTCAAAAACCGGTCAAAAATCAAACATTTGACTATTCCGGGGATGCAAAAAATTCTGAAAAATGAAGTTGAAAAAACTACTTAAAAAATTTCTGACAAGAAGTTTAAAAATTATTTGAAAATAAATCTTCAAAACTTGAAAAAGAAACAGCTACAAAACTCCATAGTTGTATAGAATAAAAATTCATAAACAGTTTGAAAAAATTGAAAACAGATTACCGAGCGGCAACAAATTTCGGGTCGAAACCTGTTTGAGCCGAAAACGAAACTGTTGTCATGAAAAACTTCATAGTTTTAAAAAATCTTACGACCCATCCCATCTGAAACACATAATCGCATGCGAATATATTTGCCCTCAAAATTATGCAATATATGTTGACTGAGCCGATACAACATAAATGGAAGCTGTTTGAACATTTCAAAAAGACATGAAAAAGAAACAATGAAAAATTTATTAAAAAATGAAATAACCCAAAATCAGACAAATTACTGAGCTTTTAGTTATAGTAAAAAGCTGTTCGAACTTGAACAAAACACATGCTCTAGAAAATAAGCCAATAAAAGCCCTAATAGATAAAAAAAATAGCGTTTAAGAAAAACGGAAAATGAATCACCGATAGAAGCTAGGACGAAAACATCGAACCCAAAAAAAAATTGAGAACTATTTTTGAAAAAATAATGAAACCTGAAACGGTCTTTACCTAATTACTACTTAAATTACAATGTCAGAAGATGAAGGAGTCCAGGAGATGAAATGAGTCCTTCGAACAAAATTATTTACGAGAAAAAAAAGTATAGTACCCGATTGCAAAACCCTTGCGTATCGCAAGGTTAATTAGCAACAGAACAAAGAACAAAATTTACAAAGCGGAAACAAAGACGACAAGCTTTGAGCAGGAACCAGTTGAGGCGAAAAAAAAAACATTAATTTTATTTAAACAAATAACTGTATCAAGTTTCAAGTCCCCCTGAAATTAAAATGAACAACACTTGCAACTACCATAATTTTTGACAAAAAAATAAGTTATTTTGATAAACTTTTCGAAGCACTTCAGATTATAGATATTTGCGTTTTAATGAGAATAATCTGGCTCTGTTCAAGTTAGGTTTTTCACATCAGCATAGATGCGTCTCTAACCTTCAACTACGAATGTCCCTGGCGCCGCCCCTTCCGAGATAGAGGCTCTGTAGACGGGGTGGGAGAATACGGGAGGGGAATCGTTGGAGTCCTCCACGATCACATTCAGTCTCGCATTGGAGAAGACATGACTCACTTTGCTGTCCCATGCACGCACTATCAAAGTGTACTTCTGGGGCCCCTCTTCGTAGTCCAGTTTGGAAGTAATCGAGACCCAACCTACGAATGAAGATGGAAACTCGTATCAATTTAACTATTCCCCCCTTGCTGCCTTACAAAAAATATCCAACCCCATAAAGGAGAACTTTAACAGTTAGGCATGACATGAGCGAAATATGAACATAGTCATCAATTTTCTCCAATTTTTCAATGAGGATGAAGTAGAGATCTTTTATCAGTTTTAAAATCTGAACCACGCTCATTCTCAGCGGGAGAGGCGTCAATTTTGAGCCTAGTAAAAATGAAGTTCATAAGCAGGGGCATATCAACACTTCTCCCTAAAGAGCTAAACAGCTCGTACAGTGCCTCACAAAAATGTAACAACTGATTTTCGAATATGGTTATCAGAAATTCAGGTAATATGCAAGGTCTAAAAAAACTACAACAATGAGATTATATATCCACTTGAAAACTATTTAGTAATCGCTTTTTTGAGCATCACATCTTGATTTTTGGTTCACGACGAAGAGCGTTTCCAATAACTGTTCCTTAATACAAATTCGTGAGGTTCTGTAGTTGAGCCATTCGCCCGAAAACAAATGGTTCTAAACAAAAATCTGAATGACTTACCCGTGAGGAAGTTGATGTCAAATTGCTGATCTCTGTCGCCCTGTTCTATCGTGTAGAATATTCTAGAAGCATCCGCACTCACTGCTTCCAGCTGTGCTATCTGTGCACCCAGTGCAGTGTTCTCGGGCACTCTCACCGTAATTTCACTCTGCGTGAACATGGGCGCCTCTTGCGGCATGAACTCAATTGTCACGTTCACTGAAGAACGCATTGAGTCGTTGTCTGAAAATAAACAGAAAGAGAAATATTTCACATTTTATTGCAGGTTTGATCACGAACAAAGGCTCAAAAACATACAAAGGGTTGTTCTGCTTCTAATGAAAAAAGTCTAACGAAATTCAATGATATCGGACTTCTTGACCGTTGTTTAGATACCAATTGTTGATAAAATTAAGTTATATGACTCACTTTTGTTCCATGCTTCGACGACTATGACCTGATGCAGGTTGGTCTGCAGTTGATTTGACGGTATGAGGTCTCTGGTGTAGAGGGATCCGTCTTTGAGGTCAACTTCGAACAGAGAGATGAAGTTCCTCTCCACTCTGTAGAACACTACCGCATTCTCACCCTCGTCACGGTCCAACGCAGTTACCTAAAGGGATATAGGGTCACCTATTGGGTGCGAAAGAGGTTGAGGTGGCTACTGCCTCTGCTCCTCAGTCTAAAAGGCTCACCACGATCCGTGGTAAGAACTTCGAAAAAAATTTAAAAAAAAACACATTTTTCCTGTATTTGCATGTTTTGTGTCTTTTTGCAAATACAAATCTATTGAGAGGTAATGCTTGCTAATGGAAAATCAAAAAGGGGGTTGTCTGAAAACACTATTCGAAACCATAATTATATGCAAAGTAAAGTAGAAGTGATCACCCTTCGCTTTACGAATTAAGTCAGTTAGTAGTTTTTAATCAAAACTTATCTCAAAAATTTAAATAGGGAGCAAATTTGCGGAAACTGAAAGCTTACCTGTCCAATCAAAGTTGATTTTGGCGACCCCGCTTTGACCCCAAATCTGTATGGTAGCCTGACAAACTCCGGCTTGTTGTCATTAACGTCCAGAACTTTCACTTGAACGAGAATCAAAGCTCGATGAGTCACACCTATCATTCGCATTTCCACTTGCAAAAAGTAGGAAGACTTCTTCTCACGGTCAAAAATTTTACCATCTTTTGTACTAATTAGCCCGTTAGATAGCCCAATTGAAAATAAGTCAACGTTATTTCTCAGCCGGAATAACTTGGTATTCTTTTCGTATTTCTCTTTCACCAAAAGTCGCGTCACAGATTGTATAATTGTTGTGTTTTCTTTAATAGTTGCGTTGTAATGAGACTTCTGCAAAAGGTAGTTTCCAAGCGCTTCTTGGACAGTTACATGAACAGTCACCAAAGCTGACAAAGGTTCGACGGGAAAATCCAGAACTTGCACGGTCAACGAGTAACTGCGACGCATGCTCCTGCTTGCTGACGCAGTAATGACGCCTGTTTCGGGATTTATAGTGAACAGGTTATCATCCGCATTGCTGTTCACAATTGAATACTCAAACTTGGTCATTGCAGGACTGTCGCGATCCACCGCTTTTGGTTGAGCCACAATTACACCATCAAAAGTCGGTTGGTAGAGAACTACTGAATACGCAGGCAGTTCAAACTTAGGTGGACAATCATTTTTGTCAGTTATCGTTATGTTTACTATAGCGTCGCTTAAGGTAAACAAAGGCGGGTTCCCTAAATTATGAGCTGAAACTTTGAAGGTGAAAAACTGTTTTTCTTCGAAATCAAGCACAGTTTTGGTTCTCAAACTTCCAGTGTTAGCGTCTATTGTGAAGTTTTTCTTTGCTTGCTCATCAAGAATCTCGAATTTAATCCGCCCATTATTTCCCGAATCTTTGTCTAAAGCTTTGACAAGAAGAATTTTCGTTTGTTCCTGGGAACTGAGAATCACAGAACCTTCCGGTATGCCTTCGCTTACAGTTCCATGAAAGAACGTTCGTTCAAACTTCGGATGATTATCGTTCACGTCTATTAAACTAATCTTAACAAACGTGTACGCTTTCAAACCGGCGGCGTTTGTAGCTTCGATTTCAAGCTTGTAAGATCTTTTCACTTCGAAATCTAGATTTTGTTTGACCGAAATAGCACCGGTGCTCGGGTTGATATCGAACATTTCATCGGGATCTCCGCCGACGATAGCAAACCGAACCGTCGAATGGCAGATAACAGGCACGAGAAAGACAAACGAGCTGAAAGGTTGGTTCTCTTTGATGCTCACTTCGTATTCGCTTTTCTGAAAAAGGGGAGGAGAGTGTTCGCCTGTTACGACAGTGATGGTAACGATTGCGGGTTCCTCGGATCTTCTTCGCTTCTTGTCTGGTTTATCGGGATCTGGTTCGTCGAAGGCATAAATCTGTTAAGAAATTAATGCTCAATGAATTATACACAATTCTTTTATAGCACAAGTTATACAAAAGATCATATTCCAAGTTTCCCACAAAAATTTTCAATTACAATCTATGAATTCATAGGTAGGAAATTCGGGCGTCGAAAATTAAACGATAGTACAAGTTTAAATTTATGGACATTGAATAGTTGAAAATTAGACATTGAATAGTAGAAAACCTGTCACTTCATAGTAGGAAAAGTTCCTCCCGTATTCAAAACGTCCTTAAAAACTGAGAAAAATCCTCTCTAAATCCGAAAAAGAATAAGGAAGCCTTGACGACTGACCTGCAACTGGTACGTGTTCCCAACCATTGTCTGATTCAGCTCCACAGTCAGAGTCACCTCCCCAGTCTCCGGTCGCACATCAAAGTAATTGTTACTAGCTAGAACAGACAAACAAACCATTTTAATCAGAGTCCAACAAGTTACGACAAAACTGAACTTAAGCATACAGATTTGGCTTCAATAAGTAGAAGAATACATGTGAGGAATACATGTTATTTTCAGAACTATTTTTTCAGAAGTCGACCAAATTAACATTCCGAGCTCTCCTTAAACACCAGAAAGACTCTAATATGCCCTCGAATCATAAATAGCTATTCACTTTTGAGAAATTCTTCACTTTTGGGGAAGCTTTCATCTAAAGAGAAGCCTTTTTGCAGCACGTAATTCCTCAAAAAATTATGCAATTCGCCTCTAGTCACAGATCATTATTCCATGTAATGTGTTCCAGGAAATTATTTCTGACAAACAACTCAGCAATCAATTTAAGATTTATTAGTATTTGAGAGCTTTTGTCCCATTGGGTTGTTCTGACATTCACATGGATGGATTAAAAATTGGATTAATTACTATTGGATTAAATAAGTAGAAAAAATTCCCCATTCTAATATTCGTTCTACAGAAGCGAAGCAGAGCTTCGCACCACTTGCGATGCAAATGAAATGTAGAAACTGAGGCGGAGGCCACTAAATTGAAAAAATCTTTTTAAAAAAAACTATATCTATAAAAACCTCATAATTTGTCTCAAATGATGTTCATTTTGCGAAAACTATTTTGAGAAACACGGCTAAGAACAAAGTTCTCAATCGCCACCACAGCCGGCAAAACTTGGGTAGACGATTGTTGAACAGAAAACAAAATTATCCAGAAATATTTTTAGCTATGAAACTTTGCAACTCAAAAATTCCCCCCTCCTTAAACACACAAAAACATCAAACTCTATTTTTCCATTAACGCTACTGACTCTATGGTGACAAATTTACAAATTAAAGGAGCAAACGAAACGCCTTTCATTCCTATCAAAACTTGCTTCAACCAAAATCAAATTGCATAATAAGGAATATACGTCGAAAAAAAACAGCAGACAAACAATAGCCCAATAACTAAATTTCTCCCAAAAAATCATTTTGAAAAGAATCAAACGCATTACCTTTATTGTCTGAAGCAAAGGCGTTAAATCCACACAAAAGGGACCAAAAATTACCTGGATTTTGATATACTATTAAAGTACTCCGTGCAAAAGATTCAGTGATTTCAGTTCGTTAAATTGTTAACCCAAAAAAGTCGATACTCCGAGTTGAATAGCTAGCTTGTTCACTACAACGGTAACAACGATAGCCGGTTGCAGTGCAAAAAGGACAAAACGTTGCATCTACCCTTATCCAAAAAAACGAGGACAAAATTTACACATAGGCGAGGCTAAATTTCGCGCTACTTGTGATACAGAAAGCCACCGAATTCTAAAAATTGAAAGAAAAAAAACGTCAAAAACAACGTTCAAAAACTTCGTTTGCTTGTTTCAAATGAAACTCATTTTGATTTAATAAAATCCGTGGTAAAACACATTTGCCAGCTTTAGATTAATTTTAAAAAATCAACCGGTATATAGAAAGACAAACTTTGGGCAGACGCTCGTTGAACTGAGAAAAATGTTCATAAAAAGTCGAAAAATGAGACTTTTAAAAAGCAGAAAATGAAAATAATTTATGGATTTTTGTTCGAAAGTTTGACGAGCCATCAAATTCAATTGATTTGCAAATATAAACTTTCAAATATTATGAGGACAAGAAAAAAGTGTACACAAAAAGTCGATTTTTGAAAAGCAGAATATGCAAAGAAACTTATTAATGCTTTGTTCGGCAATTTGTAAATCCATTTGCAAATAAAATTCAAATATATCATAAAGATTTGGATGACAGATTGCTAGAAATGAAGATGAAACAAAAACGAGAAAAAAATATCCAAAAGAAAAATGCTGCTGAAAGAACTGTCTTCTATTTCATTTTTTTTCACTAGCAGAAAATCTTGGAGGAAATAGAGATGAAAAATATAAATTACATTATTATGATGGAAATTGCAATGAAAATTTAAAAAAAACACTAAACAGAACAAAAGGAAAACATTTAGAGTAAATGAAACAAACATACAAAAGAAAAAATTCTGAAGAAAGAAAGAAAAAATTACGAGCAAATTATAATTAAACAATTTTAAAGATATTTTTTTTGCGATAGCAATTAAACCCTTCTAAATTTAGGTCTTTCTACAAAAATAAATAGGCCCGAAAGCACTCAAACCAATATTCAAAATCACTTGACGAAAAAACTATTTGAAATTTTATCAAAAACATTTGCGTATAACCTCATTACTTTAATAACTTTTTACCAAAAATACGATTAGAACAGCAAAACGCTCAAGAACAATCGAGGATTAATTTTTCAAAATACAAAGCGTTATTGAAAAGTTAATGAATTTTAAAAAGTTCGATTAAAAAATTCGAATATTTTTTCAAGCTTTCAAAAAGATTTTTATAAGGGGGTCGGGGAAGTGATTTTAAAAATTCAAAACGAAATTGTCAAATTTATAACTATCTCAAAAACGAAAAAATATATAGAAACAAAAACATGTGCGAATAAGCCGAGAGATTTAGAGCCGACACTTTATAAGCTGAAAAACAGCCGAAATAATTCCAGTAAAAATCATACAAAAAGATTTGCATCTACCGTCTACAATGAAATCTCTACACCGGCAAAACAAGTGCGCTGCATATTTAAGCTGCAGATTTGTAAAATTATCATTTCAAACTTCTTTCTAAATGTGTACCATTTTGTGAGCAAAAAAATTACGGAAAAAAACCCGGTTGCAATACCGTTGCTTATCGCAAGGGTAAAAAAAATGCTCTTTTTCATTTTTGCTCAATTTATTGTTAAATTTAAAGGTAAAAATCTTTGAATTCGGTGTAAAACAGCAAGAATAAGAAATAATATAAAGTAAAGTATTAATAAAAAATAACTAGAATTACGTTTAAATACATTTTTTGTTCACTGCACTCGAAATAAGGCTGAAAATCAAAATTTTCTGATCGGTTTTTCTCAACATTGAGAAAACTTTTTTCAAAAATTTTTACGATTAGTTCGACTCACTACTGTAAAGCTTCAATATAATTTATCAATCGACCCATTCTGATGACTATTTGTGGCACCTATTTTGCGGTCAAAACAAAAAAAAACAAGAACACACACGGAGACAAAGTCATTTCCCATTTTCAATGATCGAAACAATAACTTCTACAGCAAGGAAATAGAATTCCTTTGATCTGAATTTGAATTTCTATTAGATCATGCTGGCTTTAAAAATTGGTTCAATTTCAATTAATTTAGTGGTACTTTTTCACACTTGCAGCGTCAACTTAAAAAATCGCACAAGATTATTTGACAACCAAAACCATTCGTAGCTCAGCCAGAAAGCATGAATAAAAACCATCTCTCAAGTTAAATTTGAAAGCCAAACCCAGATTAACATATTTGCATTTACAAGTTAGGATTACAGCATGTGTACGCCAAACACTTCATAAACCCACGTGAAATATTAAGTGCAAGTTTTGAGTAATTGTAAAAACACATACTTGTCCTATCAAATCTCCAACTCTTGGCCAGATAAATGTTTCTCAAATTGAATTAAACGTACAGTGAGTCAAGTTTCCAGGCGGCGATCGGATTTAGACTACAAATCACGAGTTAAACCCTCTAGATTTGTATTTGAGGCGATGGGCGAAGGCAAACTTGATCAAGATGGTTTAAGAGGGATTTAACCGCTCGATATCAGAAGTTACTCTCCTACACATGAAGTAAATTTGGAACTTCATACCCTTAGCTCCTGTTTAATATAAAGACTGTCAAACAAATTTGCCATTTCGGTCAGACAATGTTAAAAAAACAATCTCAAAATCATTTCAATATTTCGAGATTAACTCTTTGAACGACTAAATTGGTATGTATAATATTGGTTTCTAATTTTGACACTGACAAAACAAGCTCAAGTTGAGAAGCGTATGGTTGGCATTTTCATGATATTTACACGGGAAGTATCAAATCCAGTTAGCCGGACCAGATTATTCTGGTTAAGGTAGACAGATCAACCGGTTTTATTAATGATGATCGCAGTTTGATAAGAGAAGACTCAACGGCGTCTGGCTAATTCTCGCACATGCCATTTGCGGAAACATTATCGAGGCACAAAGTGGGTCAATGAAGCTAAGTTGTGTCAGACTTGTCAAACTGTAACGATCTAGGCCAATAAAGGGAACCAAAACACTTGTTTTAGCCGCAGGTACACAAAATATAAAACTGGGCCTAAATCAGGATCTTCGAGTCCCATAAACAGCTAAAAGTCCATAAAACTATGATATAATTTTTATAGTTTATTTGAGCGTCTTAATTGGTGTAATAGGTTTATGTTTTTGTTACTCATTCCTTAGCGGGTGTGTAGCAAAATACTTAAGAAAAGCGTCACTCGTCATAATGTGCATTTGTAAATTCGTCGCTGTAGCCGAATAGTTTAAATTGAGCGAGTTTTCACTTCATGTTAAAAAATTGGCACGGCTACACTTGAAAACAGACTGTAGATCCAACGATGATACTTCCAGATAGTAATTAATTTGTTCAAACTTTTGTTTTTTTATCTCTATGAAACCATTGATTAAATAAAAATCTTCACTTTAAAAAAATCATAAAGATTTCAAAAAATAAATAAATAAAAAATTGTTAGAGAAAAAAAACACCACAATCACAAATATTCCATCAGTTTCTTCGAAAATCGGAGCCATAAAACTCCTCGTATCAAAGAAAACCCTAAATGCCCCAACTACTCTTAATATCAAGAAAAAAATGCCCTAACAAAAAATGAAAAAAAAAAATCTAGAAAGTGACCAACAATGTTATTGATCAAGTTTTTTATAGACCCAAAATTGCATGCCTCAATTGAATTTGGAAAAGTTTCGAGCGCGGATTAGTTTGCTTCTGACGCGGTGGCTAATACAGATGAATGGTTATAAAGAGAGAAATAATTAGTCAATATTGAAAAATTCCAAACTACCATAAACTAAGACAAGAGTGCTCGTATATCAGGGCAAAACCCTAAATGTCTCAAATTCCCTTTGATAATCTTTGGTGTAGAAAATATAAAAAACCATAAATTTTGGATAGTATCAAATATTAAAAATAAAATCTTGAATAAAACGTAATTAGCTTGCATCAATTTGATTTGAAACGATTTAGTAGTGCGGGATAACTCGCCACGCATAAATAAACCGCGTTAGGCTTTTGCGATCATAAACAAAATCTTGACAGCGCGCAAAATTTAGTCCAGAGCATAAATAAATTAGCAATTTTCAAACCCCAAACGTGTAGAAAAGAATCGAAGAAAAATAGCTTTTTTATATTTGAACTCAGGGACCAACCCAAGTTAAAATCTTCCGAATTTTTTCAAAAAGAGGAGCAAAAAGACAGCTCGTGCCAGGGCGAAGACCTGAATGTTACTACTGCTTTTTAGGGTGTGCTAACTTTTACAGTCGTGCTCACTCTTACAAAAAAAATAAAGAAAATTTCAGAAAAGAAAAAATTTCTTTTTTTTTTGAGATTTTTTGAAAACAATCCCCCACACACAATTATATGTTTTACAGTAAGAAATAGTATCAAATAGACCAAGCAGGATGCCTAAATTTCATTAAAAACTATTTCTAAGACGGGTTAAATCTCCACTTAAGCGTTAATAGCACGAAATATATCGCGCGTCAATTATCCATCCCAAATTGGCAACCTTTAAACCCCTATATCTTAACAAAAAAATTATTTTGAGAAAAAAACAGTAGATGAATAATCTTTTTACATTTCAGCTAAATTAAACAATGCCTTTGGATGATATAAAAATTCCCTCGAAAAATGTCTAGAGAAAAAAACCACAGTGTCTTTTTTCGGTGTGGCTGTGATTCGGATTTAAATACTCATAGAAGTTGTCTCAGTATTAAAAAAAAAATGGCCTTATGAATACAAGCTGACCGCCAATAAACTTAACTCTACTACCAATTTTTCTTTTATTAAAGTTCATTCTAGCATTTTCTCACTTTAGTCAATCCATCTCTTTGGAAAAAATTAACTGGGATATTGGACCAAAAATGAATTCTATAACTTAGCAAAAATGTCCATTTTTTCAACTTGTTTTTAAACATTCGCTTTATTGTTGAAAATATTTTCTGAATTTAGTGTGATCGGAAGATTCTGCGCTACTCGCCCAAAAACTGGCAATATCTAGTTTTTTCTTACCCTTATTATAAAGGCTGTAAAGGAACTATGCATTAAAATCAATTTGGAACAATTTTCTTTTGCTATTTTTTTCAATTTTTTAAATGCTTTATTGTAGAATTTCTTCTCTTAAATCAAAGTGGTCGGAACATTCTGTGATATTTGTACAGCAACCGGCTATTCTTTTTTAAAAATAAAGCATGTTTTTGGTGAACTGGATTTTTAAAATGGCCGAAAAAACACGAACTGCAGTTCTAGTGTCAGTTTTTCCCAATGCATGGCTCGCGGGAAAATGTAAATGAAAATGAAGCAAAGTTTGCAAATTAAATTTACTACTGTCTACTTTTTCAACCCAAGGCGGTTTAATTTAACTGAGGTCAGCACATGAAAAACTGAAACATCAGATTTGAATAGTAGACTTCATGTTCACGTAATAATGACTGCAAACTTTAACAGACAGCTTAAGTGGCCAACTTTGGTGCATTCTCAGTCACGCTTATACCGATCTACACACGAAAACTGATATCATGCGGTTATTCTTATATTTTTATTACCAGCAAGGTTATTATATTAAAAATTCTCAAGTTTTTAATATGATGAAGCAGTTTATCGTCGTTTTTACGGTTGCCTAGTTTAAGAATGAGCTTAGCTTTTGTAAACGCGGCTGTTTAAATTAATCAAATTAGGCGAAAAGCATAAAAAATATTAAAAACAAAAAAATAAGCAATTTGCTAAGTAATAAAACATTTATAGTTCCTTAAAGGACAATTTCCTTCTATAATTCACTCCACAATTTCCACGCTGTTGTCCAAAATTATGCATATTGCATTTAAAAATCATTTTTAGTTACTTGCAAGTTCATTTTGCAATTTTGCCATAAAAAATTATAAAAGCAGCTTTTTAATAAGCATGAAAACAGTATTGACATGTGAACACTTTAATTTCGGTCAAAGGTGTGTAGGATTAAGATCGCATTAAGAATACTATACATCTAATTGAAAAGGCCCAGTTATCTTTTTTATCAACAGGTTAGGTAACTGAGTTATGCAATCCTGCAAAGTTACGCTAAGTTACGTAAGGAAATGCGTAGGTTACATAATGAATAAGGCGCTGCAAATGACTCAGAATTGGGTATTTTTGATTGAAAAGTGAACAAAAAGCTGTCAGTGTTGAAAATTTTTGAAGTGGAAAAAATTATTCACCTTGAGGCGACTGGTTTGTAATTAAATTTTTCTATCTGGATGATCCAGAAAAAAAATAAGAGAAGGGGGTTCCATCATGTCTTTAAAATTTTGCGACAGGAGGTGTCTTTTTGGCACGTATAAAATGGTAATCACTAATCGGAATTCTGACATGAAAAAGTAGATTTTCAATTTCCGGTTCGAATAAATCATCTAGATCCAATCCATGCAGACATTATTTCTGATAGTATAGATTGCTATTCAGCTTTTATAAAATAACACCGCCCACACCTTATTGAAAACGAACAATAAGTATAGGGTAGTGGAATAAACATGACAGGTTTTACAAAGGACAGGAATAGTCTGAATATATAATTATCTTTTAGGTATAATGCAATTACGCCATATGCTCCGCCGGATTTTATTGTTAAATCATGGATTCGCTTTCAGGGCTTTCCGAATTCTGAACTTGATTTTTTTAACGTTTGCCTGGAATACGGGTAAAATAAAGGAAAAACTGAAAAAAAAACAACTACCAGTGTTAAGCAAGCATTAAAAACAAAAATAATTAAGCGGATATAGAGCAGACAAAGCTTGGGTAGACGACTGGTGAGCCAAAAAAAATACAAATTGAACTATAAAAAATTTTGAGCCAAAAAAATTCCTAAGTTATACGAAAAACAAGAGTTGATTTACAACTAACAATTAAAAATCGAATCGAATGGCCATTTAAAAAGCAGACATGCTCAAAAAAATCTGTTGACAGGCATTCTGTTCAGTTGCAATCAGAACAGATGTGCTAACTGATTCAAACGATTATGTGTTAAACTAGTTGTTAACCCGAAAAAAGGTCTATACTCCGGTTTGATAACGCTTGCTAACCGCAAGCTTAATAAAAACAATTATACCGCTCCGAAAACTTGGTGATTCGCCTACGTAGATTAGAGTTTGGTTTTTCAGTGCGAGGTAGCATATTTTGGTTATAATCAGTAACAAAGCAGCGGTTAGATCAAAAGCCAAACAGGTCGTATGTTGGCTCTTCATAAATGTGTGAATATCTTTGTAGTTTATGCTCTGAAATTGAATCACTATCTTTTTCAGGCATATCTGTTCAAAATTCAATTTTTATTACAAATCGATCGAATCTAGTTCATTGGAATTAAATTTGATGTACATGAAATCAAGATTACCGATTTCCAGATTTTTCAGGAACGCCACTTAGGTGTGCCAATGACAATCACATCTTTCTTTCAAAAACATTCAATCTGCAGTTATTTCAGGTCTCGCCATTTGTGCATTATTCACCCAGAGTCGGAGAATCACCAAAGATATGAGCATGTTTTTTCAGAAATATAATTTGGTCACATAGTTTTATTTTTAGTCTCCATTTTACAGACTGCAAAGTAAAGATATAATATCTTCTCAAATGCACGAGGGGATTTCAGTTGAATGGTTTCACAGCAAGAGACGCATTTTGAATTTATGTTTTGCAAAAGTGAATTAAATTGGTCGGTAGAGTCAAATCGAAAATTGATTGAAAGGAACATTTTGTCATTGAGAGCGGATGTATGGCATTTGAGTGACAGATCGGTCAATTCCGACAGTTTCCAAGTACCTTTTATGACATTTAAAGGCTGCGATAAACGTTCAAGTTCACTTTAAAAAGTATTTATCCGCGAAGGAAAACCAATGTAAGTGCCATTAAAAAAGTAGAGAGCATTTGCCCCCCAAATTGGTAGCGACATGATTTTTCAAATTTTAGGGCATGAAATATTGCCAGGCTCTCTTGCAGTCAAAATTAATCACAGCGGCATAAAAAAATGACCAAATTCTTGATAAGAATGCAGCTGAAACTTGCAAAAGTTTCATCGAACAGTCGGTGGTATATTCGAAAAACTTTAGAGATATTCTAGAAATTAACCATATATAGATTTCTTTTTTTTCAGCAATTTTTAGCAAGCGAGTTGTTATTGGTATTATGAACTGTTCAAAATGTCAAAAAATCACAGGTCTCGTTAAGAACTACCTCTATAGGAAGGGGGGCATAGATGACTCACATTTATCACAAGTGTACGTGACCACTCCACTGTAGCCCCTGTCCCTGTCTATGGCTGTCACATGAGTCACCACAGAGCCCACAGCACTCGTGTCGAACACTCTGACGTCATATTGTGACGTCACAAACACGGGCGCATTGTCACTCCTGTCACTCACCTCGATTGTGACGTAAGCATAGTCAGCCTTCTCTGGCACACCACCTGAAAAAAACGACATTTATCAACGTTTAGAAACCATAATTGTGGAACAGTTGTAATAATTAGATTAAAATGGTTCATCTTGATTTAAAAACTTTGCAAGGCTTCGCAAAAACTTGAAATTTAAAAATGCTTTGAGATTTAAAAAGTATAAAGGGATTCGAACTCCGCCATTCGGCTCAAAATCCTCACGCAGCAGTAGCTCCTCCGCTTGTCAATTTTGCGTCGGATGAAGTTTGTATCATCTCAGCGCAAAAAAAAATCATAAACTACCACCATTGAAAAAATATTCTTCCAGAGTCAGTACGCATGAACTATAGTTTTCGCTTTACCCTGAAATAGTATCTCTATTTCGCAAACGAAAAAATTGCGTCGCTCATTTCTACCTGTGTCCATGGCTCTGACTCGGAGAATGTGTTGCCTGGTAGTCTCGTGGTCCAGAGGGAGAGCCAGCACTACATCGCCAGAGACAGAGATGACAAAGTGGCCTTCACTATGGGGAGTGAGACAGGCATCCAGCTCGAACTGAACCTGACTCGAACAGTCTCTATCTGTGGCTGTAAGCTAAAAAAACAATGAACATTTAAACCTAACGATGACCCAGACCAGATAAAATAATGTTTAAATGAATTCTACACTTCGCCTTTGTGACCCAAAAAAAGCAAGAAAAACAGCGACATTAGAAAAAATACTATGCTTCTTTTAGGCTTTAGATGATTGCTGTTACATATGCAAAATGAATGTCCAAAACTACTTTTTTTTTCAGCAGAAGCGAAGCAAAGCTTCGCACATGCGAAACTTCAAAAAATCAAAGAGCAATTTTGAAACACTTAAAACACAACATTCAAAAAAACTGGAAAATCAACTAAGATTTGCAAAAAACCAAACTACCGAATTAAACACAAACCGTTGACATCTTAAAGAGGGAGCACACTTTACCACGTTCATCGCGTATAGCAGTCACAAAACATTAACACACACACACCCGCGCACACAAACACACGCACACACACGCGCACATACATACGCACGCACGCGCGCACACACACACACACACACACACAGAGAGAGAGAGAGAGAGAGAGAGAGAGAGAGAGAGAGAGAGAGAGAGAGAGAGAGAGAGAGAGAGACAGAGACAGAGACAGAGAGAGAGAGAGAGAGAGAGAGAGAGAGACACTAATAGACTAATAAGTAGACTGAAATTGATATGCTCAAAACAGATGAAACAACGGCTATAGCAACTGAGAATCAATGACCTTGAAAAAACTGTAGAAAAGCCAATCAAGAACAAGAATAAAAAAAATTGCATTTCTTGAAACTTTTCTGGAAAATTTAGACACAATTAAAAATGTATTCTTATAGTGTGAACTCGACGCACACATTGTGTAAACTAAACGCACACAACTAAACTCAGTAACTAATTTAAAAAAATAGTGAGCATTAAGGCCAACAAATTTCGCCGAAAAACAACTTTATGTTTGATGAATTTCAGCTTTAAAAAAGTACAAAAAGCTTAAACCTCAATAAACAGCATGAGAGTAAGCAATTCGTTAGCTTAATGGGCGTGCAAATACAGAACAGAAAGCGAAAAAAATGGAAAATTGGCAAAAATAACAAATTTTTGATTAAAGCACTTTTACCTCGCATATATAAAGAAAAACACTACTAAAGAATCCCCAGTGATGCTAACAAGTCTGATCATTGATCAGGGCAAAGCCGTGAATGTTCCGACTGCACTTAAGGCCAATTAAATTTTTTTTTTGGTTGAATAATTGACAAAATAACTGAAAAAAAAAAAGATTAATTGAAAAAAAAAAGATTAATTTTTTTTCAATTTTTCTTCATTTTATCCCCCCACACGCTGTGTAAAAAACTAAGGGTGTGTTGAGCGTCTCGAATTGTGATATTAGGATTAAATTGCTAGCCTTAATTCAATTTAGAACGCATTAATGCTTCTTACGAGTGTCATAAGTACGCAATATATTGAACTTTAATTATCCCAAATTGGCCAAATTAGCAATTTTCAAACGTCTGTAACTTTACCAAAAAAGATCACAGGTGAAATTTTTTTTTTGAATTTGAGCTTAGGATAACAATATGTCTCAGATGGCATAAAAAATTTCTGTCAAAAACGCTTTGTTAACAAGTCAAAAATTGACAGAATAAAAAAACACACCAAGCATAGATATTCCGCATTTTCCTCGGAAGTCGGAACAACAAACCGTTGAAAGCACATGTACTGCAAGCAACTTATATCACGTGCTGAAGTCTGTGAAGAAAGTTGATTATGAGAAAACTGTTCAGTACACGGTAGCAATACACTAGCTGACACAACCCAGCTGACACAAGTTTAAATATATTAGCAAAACGGAGCTTCGCGCAACTTACGACGCAGCACAGACGCATGATGGCACACCATCCGATAGGACAAAAGACGCAAGTCGATAACTTTTGCAAAAAATCAAAAAAAAATAGATTCACGAAACTTTTCCTAAGTTTGTCTCGATTTGTACTCAATTAAGTTCATTTTCAGAAGAAACGCTAAGTAAAACAGTTGAGTTTTAAATGAGCATCGGAACAACACTTACAAAGTAACAAAGCCGTTGAGCCAAAAACAAACTTTTCATAAAAAAAACTAAAAACTAAAAAAAACTTTAGGTACTCTCAAACATACACACGCATGATTTTTCCCCGCTCAATAAGCTGAACAATATGTGGTCACAAGCCGAGACAAAATAAATTGAAAGAAAAAAAAAGAAAAAAGTGTAATATATCAAACCGTAGTTGCAACCAACACAAGAATTAAACTTTAAAAAGAACGGACCTTTAAAATGCAGATTTGCTAATGCAGAATTCAGATGATATCTAATCTGCGACTTTTTTTGAGAAGTATAAGGGTCTGGAAATTAATCTAAATTGAAATGAGGCAAAATATTTGGTCTAAACATTACGCTAGGTGACACTACCTATTATATCCTTTCCATTTTTTACATATTACACATGATTAATGCCAAGAAATTAGGGCATTCTAGTTTTGGATATATCTCACTTTTTAAAATTTTCTCAAGAATCGTTTAAAAAATTAGTAAGAACAATTTTGTTTTTCTCTTTTCACTATTCAATTTCATCCATTCACCTCACCTCATATGGAAGACATAAAGTGAATCTGTAGATTACGTTTTATCTTCACACAAAATTTGAATTATTGGGTACCAAATTTAAAAAAGTTAAAATTTTTTCGAAAATTTTATTTCTTCAAACAACTTTGATCATATTATTCTGACAAACTCGGAGAATGGTCGCAATAATGCTTACTAGCTTATGTTTTATCTGCTTGTCAATTGATAGAAGACAAAATTAAAAGATTTAATGAATATTGTTCTCAAAAATAGATTTTTTGTTTTGAATATTAATGTTTTGTTATTGTTCCGAACAGTCTCAAAGTGTGGGAAGGATCTATGGTGTAGGGTCCTTTTTTCAATCATTTCCATCCAATTTTGACTGACTTAGCTCTAACTCGTAGATCATCAAGTGTAGTATCATAAAAAAACTCTTATTGGCCGTGTTACGGAATCTAGATAACTCTCAGAAATGTTCTCTCAGTGTCGAGGAAAACTGCTTTGATTTTTTGTTTCGCTTTTCAGACTAATTACAAAATTTAGATGATAGGCTGACCCCCGAAGTTTAGTTCTACAAGAAATAAAACGCTATTTTTTAAATTAATTTAAATATAGTTACCGCTCGTTCTTGCATTTTTCACTTAGTTCTATAGCCCTTTAGCAAAAGAAAACTAACAAAAAGTAGACATATTGCCATTAAAATGTTTATATATTTTTTCAATTAAAAGAAGATTTTTTGAGTTTCTGGCTTTAAATCAATTTGGTCAGATCATTCTGTGCATTTTTGCACATCAACTAGGTATTATTGAAGTATAAGGGCAGACGCTTGCTAGATTTCAAGATCCCGTTGTCTTACCTCTCCAAGTCTTATTTGATACTGCGCAATTCTCTCTTTCTCTCTTACATAGCGTGCGGGGAAGGAAATATTTTCTTCAAAAAAATAAATAAAAACTTCATCAATTTCTCATAGACGTTAAAGGGAAGTCTGAACATTCAGGGCTTCACCCTGCTACGAGTAGTCTAGTTTAGTTCTAGAACTACATAATATTTCAGTTTCGTAAAAGGCGTCAACAGAATGCAAGCAATGCTCCCTTGAATAGTAATTTCATCAAACAACCCCATTGAGAGGAACGACTCTATGATATAAATCAAGGAATACGCTAACAACGCAATAAAGAATAGCTAGCCTTTCGAACAACAGCCTCTTTAAAAAATCAAGCAGAAACATGAAGCGATTTTTCAAGCCTCTTGAGTTTACATTAGGTAGTAAAAATACCAATATGGCGCCTTACGAAAAACGCTTGGCTAGTATCTAAACAAAGAGATTTCTGAATATGTTCTCAAGGATTATCGAATCTAATCCTGGCCTGACAAGAATTAGCTTGATGAGTTAACTAATATGTACCGCCCATTGGTTTTTAAATTTCCATATTTTTGCAAATGATCTGACGTATTTACATAATCGGTAATAGAGCTAAAAAGTGTACTCCAAATTTTGTAAAAAGTGTAGCCATTTCTTTGCACAAATTCCAGACTAAAATGGAACAATTCAGAGCTCTAATGATGGAACAATTCAGAGGGGTTGTTATTTTTCAAAAAAATTTCCCGATTTTGACCAAATTTTTTGCGCCGCAGCCGAACTTTTGAAAAAAAATCAAAAAAGACGTGTTTAGGAATTTTTTGGAAAAATTTGACCAAAAAAATTGCGATTTTTGGCGTGCGTTTTCCCCTCAAAATTTGTATATATTGGCGACTTAAGAAAAAGTTTTAGGTTCCGTCAGCCAAAAATGGGAGTCTTAAAACTACCAAAGGGGGACCCTTTGGGTCGTCAGGGCTCGAATCCCTGAGTAGGGGAGGGGGTAGGGGCGTCCACCACCTCGCCTAAACCCGCTACTGCTCTAAATAGTTCTATATTCAGAACTCTATCTTGAGGACTATGCAATATCATTAGAGGATACAGTTTAGCCTAAGCAGTTCTTTGCGAGCCCATAAAATTCTGCAAACTTTTCAAAACACGAAGCCGTATCATTACCTAGATATTTTAATTTTTTAAGCGCTTTACAAGGGAAAGAGAAGGAAACTGCAGGAAAAAATAGCGAAGTAATTTATTGATGATTGAGGTGTTGGTTTTTAGCCTACCGTGTACAGGGATGTTCCAGGTGCCATTGTCTCTGGCACCTCAACCGTGTATTTCTTCTGACCGAATACTGGCGAGAATTCATTCACGTCCAACACTGTGATCGGAAACTAAAAAACAAAATTAAAATATAATGATTGGAAAACTTGAATGAACATTTAAATTATTTTTGCGAAATAAGAGAGAGAGAGAATACATAATGAAAACTATTATTGTAAATAAAAATCAATGATCATAATAGCATCTGAAACAGGGTATAAAAAATCTGCCAAAAATGCTACTATGAGTCTATATATGCATGTTTTTTCAAAAGTTGGAACGAGCAACCACCGGTTGCAGAAAGTTGGGCTATGAGAATGTTTCCAAACAAAGCAAAAGCTTTTCAAAAAAATTTGATTCCCTTATTTTGATCGAAACTAGTATTTCTCCAGGCATCCGGAAACGAATACTTTTTTATGCGCAAATTTTATTCGGAAACCCAAGATTTGAACCAAACACCATGTTTTTTTTATCATTCATGTGATCAAGTGCACTGCTCACAGTAATGTTGGATGAGAACTTGACTCCGTCAGTAGCAGCTATGACCAGATCATATTTGTCTCTCTCTTCACAATTTAGCCTTTTGGCCACCACTAGATTCGAGCCCACTATTGCAAATTTGTTGTCGTCGTTGCCAGCTAAAGAAACATCAAAAGGAACAATGAAAAATTAACACTGTTTCAGATTTGCGACTTGATGAACTAAAAGTTGCCTGTGTTGTTACAGAAAAAGTTATCTGATTTAAAAACATCAAAAAATAACAGTTTCAGCATAGAGGCAACCAGTACGCACAAACTAGTATCAAAAAATTTGCTGCTCAAGATCATTTAAAAGTTGTTCTGCGAGGTACATTAGACAGTTATTTGGAAAAATCAGCTCGTTGAAGAAAGATGATGATGAAATATTGTAATAGACATAAAAATTCTGATTAAAGACCCTTCAGCAAGATTTACTGACCAAGAATGATGGGTCGTACGAGGTCATTCTCATCACTGGGACTTGAGAACACAGAGATCTCGGTCACCAGACCCAGACTGTTCTCGGCCACTAGGGTAGGCAGTGCCCTTCCCTCTGACTCCGTGAATTGGCTGATCATCAGGAAGTCTCCCTGGCTGTCGTCATCTTCTGATTTCTGCTGCAGGTTGATGATGATACGGAAGAACTTAGTATTAGAAGGCGCACCTTTGTCCGTGACGTTGAGCTAAAACCCAATTAGAAATCAAAGTGTTAACTACTTTTCTACTTCATAAAAAGAGCATTTTTCAATAACCTCCCAACTGCGGCGCTGTACTTTTTACAGATTCGCTACAAGACCTGTTTTGACCATAAATCAAATCTGTCTTTAAGGATAACGGTTCTCTCTAAGCATTGAAGACATTGGAACCTATTTAGTTGCTAAAAAACTTGACTTGCTGCAAATCCTGACTTGCTACAAAACCTGTATTGACCGTAAATATCCGTCGATTTGAATAATTTTCCATTCCTAAGCCTCTAAGTAATTGATTCTAATTAGTCGCAAGACCCATCTTCTGTTAAATTTCCACTCAATATATCAAATAACAAGCATAGTACTTCAAACATCGTTAATTTTAAATATCCTAATTGTCATTAAAACCCACACCCTTCATATTTTTGTGCAGCGTCATTTAAGATTCCGTTTACTCCGTAAAAATCCAGTTCTATATAGATTAACAGAAGCAAGCCGCCTACTTAAACTTATCAGCCCGCCATATTTCTTAACAGAACATGAAAAGAAACCTGTCCTGTTAAGCGTTTTTGAGCCCTATAAATGACCCCTTAATTTGTGTCATAAATCGGGCAAATGGAGATCCGCTAGATTTTAACATAGCAACAAATCTTTTCCTGCTATTCCGAATTTGTCAAGAGGGGAAAAAGGGTCTTCGGTTGATTAAGTCAATCCCAACCAGACTCGCTTAGCCAAGTGTGAACAAATTGGCCAAATATTTGGCTGTTTGGGCTAAATATCATATATTGAAGCTATGTAAATTGTTTAATACTGGGACGGGTACTTCTATTGTACAAAACACGCACGTGATCAAATCTGGTTGATTAGTAAATTATGGGAGAGATTTAAGCCAGACTTCAGATTCTAAGAAAAGAATAAATACGTCTCATTTGTGGGTCAAATTTTAGTTGGATTTACTGTTTCTAATCTAAAATATAAACAAATAAGAAATTAATGTTAATTCTGTAGTTACTCTGGGCTTTCCGATTTCGACAGGAACCCCGGTATATGTCCTCAAATAGTTGAAAAGAGAGGCGTATCTTGGGTTTTCAGAAACAATTTTTGCTGTAATTTTTTTGGGTTTTCGAATACTTTAGCTTTGAATTTGTATCTGATTTTTCAAGCGGAGAATTTTTTCCAATTTACGATTTCGAAGCTTTTCTTGTGGATTTTCAAATAGGGCTTCTCTGCGGTTTTCCCCGACCGTTGATTTTCGCTACATGAAAGATTCCATCACACATTCTGAATGTTTACATATATGATAACTAAATTAGTTCGAAGACATTTATCCATCTTATATAACCTAGTAAAGTCACTGGTTAGGTTACATCGAACAATTGATAGTTATGTCCAGGGGCGAATCTAGGATTTTCTCGAGGGGGGGGGGGGGGCGGATTTTCAAAAAATTTCGAAAATTTTGTCGACTTTTTTTTAGGTCGACCAAATTGATTTTCTGAGCGCTCTCAAATTACTCTAAAGACCCTATTTTGATCACATTTTGAAAAAACAAGCCAAAAAAGACGTTTTTAGGCAACTTTTGGAAAATTTTCACCAAAAAATCGCATTTTTGGGATTGTTACTCTAAAGACCGTCTCGAATTACTCTAAAGACCCATTTTGAGCAAAATTTTGAAAAAACAAGCCAAAAAAGACGTTTTTAGGCAATTTTTGGAAAATTTTCACCAAAAAATCGCATTTTTTCGGCGCGCTCTCCTCCCTCAAAATCATTATATAATGGCACCGAAGGCACCTTTAGAAAAACTTTAGGGCCCGTCACGAAAAATAGATATCTCAAAATAGTCGGCAGGTGTCAAATTCCTAAAGGGAAAGCGTCCCCCCCCCCCCCCACCCCTCCTTAAACCCGCTGGTGGTTATGTCTTAGAGAATGATCAGTTAAAATCAGTGAGTCTGTCTGCTGATCGTAGATCATAGTCATAATTAAGGCACGTTTTCTGGAATTTTTTTGCAATGAAAACTTGTAAGTAAAATTAACTTGTAAGTAAGTAAAATTACTGTTCCCACCAACCGATTGATAGGCATGCGGACTAATCGGGCCATGACAAACATATTTGGTCTTCATAATTAACCTTATAAAACCACTCATTACATCATAAAATTGATGCTCATACGAGGTGGGGGAAAAGGAAAAAGAGCCAGTAAAAACTTTGTTCTCTTTTGGCCAATTTCAGAAGGCTCTTTATCCTTTTCTTCCACGTTCCACCCCACCCACGAATTTTTTAAGTAAAAGTTTCGCGCTCTTTTCCGCGCACCAGCGTATTTTTTGTTTACATTGTCCAATTGTTACAAAAATGGGAAGGCCGACTATTTAGGCCACGATAAATATTTTTGGATTTCGGTGAAATTTGGGGTGATTTTCTTGACTATTTTGATAATATAAAAAAAGAGTTTCTCCGCCGACCCGGACTCGAACCAGGGACCTAAGGATTTCAGCTTCTCTACAGTCCTCCGCTCTACCAACTGAGCTATCGGCGGATGAATTAAACTTTGCAACTAGTGATTTACAAGCCATGGTACAAGCCATAGCAAAGAGTTTGGTATTAAAATTGATTCGATAAATGAACCAAGTTTGAATACATGAAGCCAAATCGAATCATACCGCCGATATCAAATCATAATCTGAGAAACAAATTAAGAAATAATGATTCCAATTTCAGTTTATCATTTACTTTGATCAAACTAATACGCTGAATCGGTACGTCATTTCGAGTCCAATTTAAAATGCTTTTTTTAAAAAAAAATCGAACAGTTCATTGTCCAAAAATTTTTGGAAAGTGCGGCAACGTAAATGTGTGACAAGGATTTTTTTCCGGCGTCGAATTGAAACTACGATTTTTTTGATATATTGTGTCGAGTTTTTTTAGGTCTGTCATTTCCAAAATTTTGAGCTCTGCCGCAACCCATCAATTATCATATTTGATGAAATTTCTGCGCCGCAAGAAATTTTTTGAAAATAAAGCCCCGTTTTGAGCACTTTTTGTACGGATTTGCATGTGCAAGGTTTTGCGAATCGCTTTTTTTTGCTGGGCGCACTCCTCACTCAAAATTTGCGCAACTTATAGGCACCAAACAAGTCTTTATACACTTTTTAGGGCTGGTCAGCTAGAAATGGCAGTCGAAAATTTTACCAAAGAGGAACCACATTTCCTTTAGAAAAAATTGGCAACCAGAATCGAAAACTACTGATCATGGTCCATACTATGGCACAGGGGATGGTCATAGTTAGTGTCTTACATTGAGGTCGATGATGGCCGGCAAAGTGGGCAAGGACTGGCTGAATATGTGTCCGAACTGGTCCACAGACACCTTCAGGTCCCCCTTCCCATCCAGTTTACCCCCCTCCATGTCACTACAGCTGACTCTCAAGATACTGTAGCTCAACTCCCCATTCACTCCAAGGTCACGGTCTATCACCACCACTCTGAAAACATCCGAGCAATTAACTAAAGTTTCCATCATTATTTGGCTCTTTTCCAGTTTCCCAACGCACTCGTAAACTTACAACATTAAAATGTCTCACCTTCACTAAGACGGCATCTTGCATCTAAGAAAAATTGCTCAGATCGGTTTACTTGTTCACACTTACGTGCGTAAAAAATGTTATGTATGAAGTTATCCAAGCAATCATTTCAAGAAATAAAGTAAAAAGGGCTATAATGGCAAAGAGTCCAATTTTTGAATGCGGGTGGTTCTTGATTGGAAACCATGTCTTAAAATACGGTTCGTATATACAGCAGTAGATAATATTATATAAGAATTGAGAAAAAGAAGGTATTCGAAAACCTCGTTTCTTTTTACCGATTTCAAGAATGGCAGTATTTTTTATATGACAGTGAGCCATCTAACGTTTGAATTCTTACGCTCAGCCTTTTTTACCGGTCTTAAATTTATTTCAATCGAAAAGAATAGGACTTGGGAAAATGAAAAGAATCGAATAGGAAAATGACAAATAGGGAAATTGTGTTTTTGGTCTCTTTCTCATTATAAAAACCTCCCTCTAGGCTAAAACAAATCATAGCATTCTAGCGGTGATTCATAATTTTGCCTTTTGAGAGACTTTAATATGTTGACGCGGAGGGGACAGGGTGGTTTTAATGGAAAAGAAACCGTTTTTCAAAAGGTCATCAGAACAGGCCACATATTTCACATTACCTGTGCAGGAGGTATTTGCCCGTGTCTGGCTGGGGTTTGGCTGGTGGCACTAGAAACACTTCGTTCATGTCGAATAGTAGTTCTGGTGAGTGGTCGTTCGTATCAGTCACTCGTACCATCACCTTTGCAATACTCGTCAGACCCGAATTGGACTCGAAGTCGCCGTCACTTATCTCTACCTGCAAACAAGACAACTTTCATTGAGTTCCTACAATTTATCCACAAGAGAAAAAGAATGATGAGATGAGACTGGATTTTTATCTCATAGAGTAACCTCAGATAGAGTACATCGTCAAGTAAAGTACATTGCCTGTCACGCAAAATATGAAAGCAGCTAATTCGAAAAAAAATATATTAAAACAAAGAAAATGTCAAAAAAAACTAGATCTATCATAATAAATAAAGCCAGTTCTGAAACAAAAACCCACCAAGACAAAAAAAATTGAGTTTAGCACTCAACAAAATTTCAATAAGAGATAATGAAAACGGAAATACCTCAGCAGAAACACTTTAAGCCGAAAAAAATCAACAAGCTTATAAAAAGTTATCAAGTCCCCCTCACCATTAAACACACACAAAAAAATGTTTAATCATCAAATGAAACTAACTGAGACCACTAAGCAGATATAACTTGAGCCGAAGTCTAATAAGCCGAAAAAAAAATAAACTAAAAAAAAACAAAAAAAAGGAAAAAAAACTCAAAAATATAAGACCAATAAAAAGTTACCAAGCCCCTCTCGAGCTCAAAACGCAAATAAACGCATAATGTTTTTTGTTTCTGATTGAAAGACGCAAAACGGGCCTTTAAGACAAAATAAAATAGGCCGAAACCCATCATACAGAAAAAAGGAAAAGAAACAAACATACAAAAAATGAATTTCACAAACCGAGTAGGTAAAATTACAACTTTAAAAACAAATTTCGAATAAGTCAGATATTTAAATCGCTAAAATGCACAAAAGTATCTCTAGCGGTAAGTCATATTTTTCACAAAAATTGCTACCAAAGTGAATAAATGAACTAAAAAGTCGAAAAATGATTTTTATTAAGTAAAAAATTTCAAAAAAAGTTTTAGCAATTTTTTCATCTTCATTTTGTAGTTTTTATTAGGGGGCTTCAGAGGGTGATGTGAACTTTTAAAAACTTCTCGTTGCAGTTTAACCGTTTTCATTTAACACCATCGAAAATAAATAGGAAACATAAAATCATCAGGAAAATAAGCCGACAGAAACAAAGACGACTGATCTCGGTGCCGAATATCTAAATAAAACCCTGCCACGCCATATTTTCTCCAGTCACTTTCGTCAATTTCGGTGACGTAGTGTAGTGGGAACAACGAGAGTAGTCCATTGCTTTTTCGGTAGCACAGTTTTCCGACAACGACCATTGAAAATTTCAAATGATTAAAAAAAGCAGGGTCTTAGACCTTAAATTAAGCTCCCTAAAGAAATGACAAATATGACAAATATAGATATTCACAATTTCAGAGTTTTTCTTTACACACTTCAGACCAATTTTATCCACTATTCAGTCTTCGCACATGTGAATAGTTTATAAGCTGAAACTTCTAACTTTTTTCTCGACACTGAAAAATTTTTGAAATCCAAGTCACGAACAAGAGGGCTTCGACATAATACTAGCCCCAATCACCTACCAGTTTTCCTCGAGAAACAAATTAGGTTTTGCCCAAAGTTACAAATGCAAGTAGAAGAAAATATTTATTTACAAAATTTGATCGTTTTTGTCTGAAAAGTAGCTTGAAAATTTGCTTCAAAAGCTTATAATCAAGTTTCATGATGGTAAAAAAAGATATACGCATAAAAATATAATTTTTTCAGGCAATATGTCCTTTTTTAAACTACTGACTCATTTGAACAATTTATCTCCAGGCAGAGAAAATTTATCAGAGTTTTAGTAGCAGTCTAAATCACTGCTTAAATGTTTCATTTTAGGTTTTCACTCGAATTTGTACTACTTGTCTTAGTACCCGATTTTTCAAGGCAAAACACATTCAAATAGAAAACTCTATCCCCTTCGTAGTCAGAACAACTTTTCATATCAGGGCGCAGCTCGGAGCGTCCAGAGACCCTTCATTAATTTGTCTCAACTTTTTTTGGTAACACAGAATCTAAATTTTAATAAAAAACTTACGATAAAACTTGATACAATTGTCGTTTGATTTTCTACACAAGACGCTTTTGCCACTCAAGAAAAGACTAATAATATTGCTTTTACTAAAACTTGACTGATTTGTTAATAAGAAAAAAAGCATCGAATAAATAAACCTCCAAAATGTCAATTTTTCATTTCCCGATAACTTTGCTCAAATGATGGAACAGGTGGAACATTTTTTAAATCTTTTTAACAGTCATGAAAGTAATTAAAACTCTTATATAGGTCTTCGTGATTTTTTAAGAAAAAATACTTAGTAATTTTTCACGCTAAAAATTCATTTTTCGCGGGTTCACTTTTGATTTCTTTTCAAGTTCACTTCGTTTCCTTTGTTAAAAGGAAGGCAAACTCCATAAACGAACAGCAAAGTGTAAAAGTCACAAAATACTAGATCAATTTCTAGTTTCAAAAGTGAATTTTAATTTTCAGGTTTCGCAGCGGAATGTCAATTTTACCTATTGATCTATTTTTCTCAAACTGAGTTGATTTTATCGCAAAAAATCAATGATAAGTTGTTCTTGAAATTCAGAAAACTTTGAGACCAAAAATTTTTTTCTTTGAAATCCGAAAATTTTTGTTCTGTTTCCTTGCGTTCATGACTCTTTTCCAACTGTCTGCTGGCTATGTTTCATTTTGAGATCAGTTCATCGCTATTTCCGCATGGTATCAAAAAATCTGCCACAAACTCATTTCAGTAAGGCTATATTTGTCTGGATAACACAAGGATGATGCTCTGATTTTTTTCTACTTCTTTTTCCAACAGATAACAGACAATCAGGTCCATTAGCAAGGTTTTGCTTTATGGAGTTTCTCTATTGATTTTAATAAGATTAGAGGAAATTATCTGAAGATAATTAATACATTTACCAAAAGCAAGCAATGTCGACATTTAAGCACAACGAATTCGTACTACATGTTTTGAAATCCAACTGAGCAACTTCATGTAAAAGTAAACAAACTAAATACATGAAATTGAAGATATATTTTAAGGACCGATAAAAAAGCGCACATTGTTTTAAAAGCCTAGATTTAATTTTTTTTTCAAACATACTTGACTGTGCGACAGCTTGAAGTTCAAACAGATACAAAACTGTTTTAGACCAGTGAAGCATGGTCAAAATGTGACACCTCAAACCACAAAAAACTACAAGTTTGACATTTTTTTTGTAAATCAAGAGCATGTAATTTTTAAAAAGCAGTTAAAAGGTCGACTTTGCATATTCTAATAAAACAACAAACCCAGATTAGGCTTGCTAACTTATTACAGCAAAAACTCATCTCAAAAAATATATAAGTAAAAATGCGAACTTAATTTTGATTTTTTTTCAAAACATTTAAGAATACTGCCTGCTATTTATGCATATTTATTCTCCTATTTTCCGGAATATTCGGGTCTTAAATTAGATTCCTTCAGGCATGATCCGGATTTTGTTTTTGGTTGTGTATTTATTTCATTTAATTTTACAATGATTGATGTGTCGGACTTTTCCGTGGTACTTTAAGCAACAGTCTACTCTTGTTTAGTTTCAAATAGTTTAGTTTCAAGTTATCGTGCAAAACTTTACGATTGTTGCTCCTGCGTTCCATAAATTAAGTCGGCACTTAATCTGTCGAAGAAACTAACTTTTCTGTAATTATGGCATGATTCGATAAAATTTGGGGGTTAATTGCTCGTGTTTCTAAACCCTACTTGTTTTTATGATTTCAACTCAACCTGACAGAAGCATTATTTATGGATTGCAAAATAACTATTTTGCCTTCTATGATACTTTCATGGTCGGGTTTGGGTTTCGACCCATAGTGAACCACAGCTGTGTTAAATCAGGTGCGTAAGGACACCTTATGGAACCTTCTAAAGGGGAGCTATGGCTCTTGACTTAGAGGTTTGACGCTAATTAGACCAATTGGGTCTGAAAGGACTCTAAAGAGGCCGCATTGCGGCTGCCGCCATCAAGTTGAATCGGAAACATTATGAATCGCAACTGAGTGAAAACACACCATAAAGAGTCCAACAGGTGCAGAAAGTAGACCGTTCGTTTAGCATAACTGGCAAACAAGCATGACAATTACAAGAGCGATAGTCTTACATCAGATTACTTACAAAACCTCAAAAAACTCAGATTTTTTCAAGCATTTACAGAAATCGCAACCAATATTCGAAACACCGGATAGCTTTTCGCCATTTTGCCATTTAGAAAGCAGATTTTGACTGGAGAAATTTTTCATGAAAAATTCAGTTGAAGATGTTTGATTCCATTAGCTTATTGGTTGAATATTTGAGTATCAGATGTTTCCGCTTTTGAACGAAATATGCTTTTATACAATTCGGCCAATTGAACAGTATTCCACAAGGGCATACTTAGCGGACATGCAGCCAAAACGAGTATGTTATTTTACAGCACAGAGAAAATATTTTGCCAAGTTTGGTTTCAACTTAGGGACCTCTTAGAGCTCAAATTCAGCCGAGACTCACAAACAGCCCGGGGCTAAAGTGTGTAAGCTGAGACAAAATATTTGGCAGGAATGTCAACTGAACGAATTTCGGGGCAATTAAGAAGTAAATTTCAGGTCACACAATGTTTCAGCCACGTGGTTTTTAAACGGTATAAAAATTAAGGGGAATTTCAAGTGGTGACAATTAATATTACAGAGTATTTTAAGGGTGACGGGGACTGAAGTTTTGACAAGTTAGTTGACAACAAGCTGCAATATTTACAGGTTGCGATACGTTTAAAAGCATCGAGGGATCTGTTCTTTTTAAACTTTGACACAGAATAATGGCGGGCGACTAAATTAAAATATAGAATTTCCGGGTATTTTTATGGTTTTCTCCGAAGAATAGAAAAAACTCACCAGAAGGAAACAAAAATAATGGTTTGATTCTATGCGTTCTTGAGAAATAGGTTAAGAAACGGACAATAGTACTGACCTCTAATTCAAACAAGTCTGTAGCGAGAGACTCGCGGTCCAACACCTGGGCAGTGCGAATCACACCTGCAATAGAACACACACACAATTAACACAACTAAAGTCTCAATAAATCTAGATTCAAGCTAATCCAGTTAAGCTTCAACACAGAGGCAAAGCTGAGCTTCGCACCACTTGTGGTATAAAATTGAACGGCTATGATTAAATTCAAATGAAAAGAAAAATCAAAATTTGAAAAAAAAACTTTCAAAAAATCGTTTGTAAAAAAATAAACAAAATTGCAAAAAAAGCCTTAAACATCCGTAAAATATCAACTGCACCAATAGAAACTTTATAAAGAGCCTTCAAAATTTAAGAAAGAAGCCGAACTTTCAAAAATGAGCAGATCGACAAAAATCTAAAATAGCTGAAAAAAATTCATTTTGCAAAAAAAACAGGTCCCCACTGGAATCGGACCCCCGGACGCAGTCTTCTCAAGCATGGGTGTTATAGCAGCCTCGAGGAAAACTGAACCTCCAAAAAATGGCTACGGGAACTAAGTCGTCCAAAAAAATAAGTCGCGGCCGGATTCGAACCAAAAGCCTTTCACGGGAAAAAAGTCTAGTGCCCGATTGCAATACCCTAAATATATAAGGCAGACGTCTACAAATGAAAAAAATATTTAGAATTCAAGTAGAAAACTTGAAAACAAAATTTAAAAATATAAAGTATTATTGTTCCGACTTTCGTAACGAAAGTAACGGAATATTTGGGCACGAAGTGGTTTTTTCATTCAGACAAACATCGCCTTTTTAACTGGCCATTTTGACGGAGTTTTTATAATATTCAAAAGATTTTTGTTGTCCTGAGCTTATATTTGAAAAAATATATATTTCACCTGTGATCATTTTTCGTAAAGTTATGACGGTTCAAAGCTGGCCATTCTGTTCAATTTGGGAGTATTAACTAGCAACATATTTCGCGCTATTAACGGGTAAGCGGAGATTTAATTTGTCTTAGAAATCGTTCCAAATTGGTTGAAGGAAGCCCTTTTTTCATAATTGATTCTTAATAGGCGCGAAAGTATCACTTCGTACTTTACATGGCGTGATGATTTTCCCTAAAAATCTCAAATTAGAAAAAAAATAGTTTAGTTTTTTTTTGCATTTAATATTTTCATGGTATTACTGCTCTATAGACCTTAAAAGGCTATTACAGGTCTATAGACCTTAAAAGGCACTCGGAACATTCAGGACTTTGCCCTGATACGAGCAGTCTTGTTTCAACTTTCAATAATCATTTTGCCCTTTTTGTTTAGTTTTCTAAGCTTAAATTAAATTTTATCTTAGACGTCAAGATTAATGGTTTAAATAATGTTAGCACCAGCGGATTTAGGGGGCGGGGGTTGGACACCCCTTCCCCCTCCCTTAGGGATTCGACCCCCTTCCGACCCAAACGGTCCCCCTATGCACTATTTTGAGATTTTCATATTTGGCTGACTGAACCTAAAAATTTTCTAAAAATCCATTCGGCGCCAAATCATGCCAATTTTGAGGGGGGAGCCCGCGGCAAAAAAACGCGATTATTTGGTCAAAATTTTCCAAAAAGTTCTTACAAACGCCTTTTTTGGCCTGTTTTTTTTTCAAAAAATTGCCTGCGGCGCAGAAAATTTGGTCAAAATGGGGTGTTCATAGTGTTTTGAAGAGCTCAGAAAATCAATTTGGTCGACCTAAAAAAAGGTCGACAAAATTTTGAATTTTGTTTTTGAAAATCCGTACCCCCGCCCCTCGAGAAAATCCTAAATCCGCCCCTGAATAATAGTATGATATGCGAAACTAAAAACCACAATGTTTATTGCCTGTTCGTACCGTCATGCACTTGAAAGTACTGATATCCCTCCGAGTACTGCTTGATTCGATAATGGAACAACTTCTCATCATTCGCGCCCATACCCGAGTCCCTGACGTCAGCATCTGTCGCCCTAACAGTTCCGACGTACGTCGCGATAGGCTTCTCCTCGTCCAGACGAACTTCAAACACTGGCAATTCGGGGAGTGGTGGATTGTCGTTCATATCATCAATCTCAACACAGAGAAATAGCATCGAGTGTTTAGGGACCGCCGCTAAGTCGTGTGCTTTGACGTCTAACCAATAGAACTGCTGAGTTTCACGATCAAACACGTCTAGGGTATGTATCTCGCCTGAAACAAAAAAACTTAGAGAGGCGTTGAGCAAACGTTCTGCACTCTTTCCTAAAAATTCTGCTTTTGTTGCTCTGACTTTCAAAGAAAGTGACGGAACATTTGTGCTGGATGTGGTTTTTCTTCAGACAATTTTCTGCGGTAATTTAATTAAAACAATATTGAACAGGTTTGCACAGCCAAAATAGTGTTTTCTTTTTTCTTTCCAAGAATTCCATTTCGTTTTTTTTTCTAGCGCAGTTTCTGAGCGGATTCGAACCATCGCTGTTATATACACATTATCCTTATCCCCTAAGCCACAAGAAATGTTGGTTTCAAGTTTTCCGATTCGAAATTGTTTGTTCTTTTTCTTAACACGTTTGTCATTTGAAGTTGCTTGACTTATAGTTTTCTGTTTCATTCCCAGAAAAAGAATGGAAGTTTCAATACCTTTGAAAAAGCCAGATTTTTTTTCCTGGAACAAGATGCTGCTTTATCCTGCGAATTGTTAGCTAGCTCAGGCCTTGGGCGGAATTTGAACCACCGATCTCCTGTTTACTAGACAGTCGGTTAAACCGCTAAGCCACAAGACCTGTTGCTTTTTCTTTCTTTTATTTGAAATCATGTGTTTTTGTTCCATATAGGTATGTCATTTGAAGTCGATTGACTTACAAATTTTTTGTTTCTTTCCCAGAAAGGGAATGGAAGTTTCGATACCTTGGTAAAAGCTATATTGTTTTCTTTTTACTTTCCAAAAATAAGATCATTCTATATCCTTTTTTTTTTACTTCTGGGCACGTATGTCATTTTAAGTTGATTGACTTATAGTTTATTGTTCCATTCCCAGAAAATGATGGAAGTTCCAATACCTTTGCAAAATCCATATTTTTTTCCTGGAACAAGATGGTGCTCTATCCTGCAATTGTTAGCTAGCTCTGTCTTTGCGCGGAAATGAACCACCGATCTCCTGTTTATTCGACATTCGGTTAAACCGCCAAGTCATAAGACCTGTTGCTTTTAGTTTTTTTGATTCAAAATCATGTGCTTTTGTTCCATATAGGTATGTCATTTGAAGTCGATTGACCAAAAAAATTTTTTGTTTCTTTCCCAGAAAAGGAATGGAAGTTTTGATACCTTGGAAAAAGCTATATTGTTTTCTTTTTTCTTTCCAAGATTAAGTTGATACTATTTCCTTTTTTTTTTAAATTTCTAGCGCAGTTTCTGGGCGGAATCGAACCATCGAACTCCTGTAAAATAAACAGGATCCTTATCCCCTAAGCCACTAGAATTATTCGTTTCAAGTTTTCCGATTCAAAACTGTTTGTTCTTTTTCTTAACACGTTTATCATTTGAAGTTGCTTGGCTTATAGTTTTTTGTTTCATTCCCAGAAAAATGAATGGAAGTTTCAATGCCTTGGAAAAAGCTATTTTTTTTTCTTCCAGGAACAAGACGGATCTTCAACCTACAAATTGTTACTTAGCTCAGGTCTTGGGAGGATTTGAACCACCGATCTCCTGTTTACTAGACAGGCGCTTTAACCGCTAAGCCACAAGACCTGTTCATTTTCGTTTTTTTGATTTAAAATCATGTGTTTTTGTTCCATATACGTATGTCATTTGAAGTCGATTGACTTAAAAGTTTTTTGTTTCTTTCCCAGAAAAGGAATGGAAGATTCGATACCTTTGGAAAAAGCTATAGTGTTTTCTTTTTTCTTTCCACGAATCAGATCATTCTATTTCCTTATTTTTTTTATTTCCAGCGCAGTTTCTGGGCGGAAACGAACCATCGCTGTTATAAACAGAGTATCCTTATCCCCTAAGCCACAAGAACTGTTGGTTTCAAGTTATCCGATTCAAATTAGTGTGTTCTTTTTCTTAACACGTTTGTCATTTGAAGTTGCTTGACTTATAGTTTTTTGTTTCATTCCCAGAAAATGAATGGAAGTTTCAATACCTTGGAAAAAGCTATATTTTTTCGTCCAGGAACAAGATGGATCCTTCTACTGAGAATTGTTAATTAGCTCAGGTCTTGGGCGGATTTGAACCACCGATCACCTGTTTACTAGACAGGCACCTTAACCGCTAAGCCACAAGACCTGTTGCTTCTAGATTTTTTGATTTAAAATGATGTGTTTTTGTTCCATATAGGTATGTCATTTGAAGTCGCTTGACTTAAAAGTTTTTTTGTTTCTTTCCCAGAAAAGGAATGGAAGTTTCGATACCTGAGAAAAAGCTATAGTGTTTTCTTTTTTCTTTCCAAGAATAAGATCATTCTATTTCCTTTTTTTTTTTTAAATTTCTAGCGCAGTTTCTGGGCGGATTCGCACCATCGCTGCTATATACACAGTATTCTTATCCCCTAAGCCACAAGAATTGTTGGTTTCAAGTTTTCCGATTCAAAATTGTTTTTTTTCTTAACACGTTTGTCATTTGAAGTTGCTTGACTTATAGTTTTTTGTTTCATTCCCAGAAAAAGAATGGAAGTTTCAATAACTTTGAAAAAGCATGATTTTTTTTCCTGGAACAAGATGCTGCTTTATCCTGCGAATTGTTAGCTAGCTCAGGTCTTGGGCGGATTTGAACCACCGATCTCCTGTTTCCTAGACCGGCACTTTAACCGCTAAGCCACAAGACCTGTTGCTTCTAGATTTTTTGATTTAAAATGATGTGTTTTTGTTCCATATAGGTATGTCATTTGAAGTCGCTTGACTTAAAAATTGTTTGTTTCTTTCCCAGAAAAGGAATGGAAGTTTCGATACCTGGAAAAAGATATAGTGTTTTCTTTTTTCTTTCCAAGAATAAGATCATTCTATTTCCTTTTTTTTTTATTTCTAGCGCAGTTTCTGGGCGGATTCGCACCATCGCTGCTATATATAGAGAGTTGCAAAAAGTTCGGACAGACAGAAATAATTTAAAAGAGCAACTGTCTAGACATCAACTGAAATTAAAACTGAAATAAACATAACATCGAAAGTTCATAAAGCAGATTTACAGGATCTACTTAACAATCCCCACTTTCAAGAAAGGGGAGGAGATTATTAATTAGATTACTGGCAGCGAACTTTCGACTAATCAGAATGCAGCAAAATTCGAATTTACATACAATGTTCTTGTGCGAAATTACTGTTTTTACTTACAGGAGTGGAGATTCTTTAGTAGATACAATAGGGGGATTGTTAAGTAGATCCGAGTTTCGCTCAAAATCTATAACCACGGCGGGCAATTGCATCCGAAGCGTCGAAATATTTTATAGTAAAATCTGGATGTTCATCGCAGTATTTAAAAATTGGGCTAGCATAATCATCGGATAACCGACAATCTCGCATTTTGAATTTGGTCTGACAAAAAATTCAAGGTTGTTCGGCTTCAGATTTTGCATGCAAAAAAGCGTCGAAAAGCACTGATTGCTCATTTTAATTAATTCTGTCTGTCCGAACTTTTTGCTACTAATTATACACAGTATTCTTATCCCCTAAGCCACAAGAATTGTTGGTTTCAAGTTTTCCGATTCAAAATTGTTTTTTTTTCTTAACACGTTTGTCATTTGAAGTTGCTTGACTTATAGCTTTTTGTTTCATTCCCAGAAAATGAATGGAAGTTTCAATACCTTGGAAAAAGCTATAACTTTTCTTCCAGGATCCAGATGAATCTTCATCCTTCGAAATGTTAGTTAGCTCAGGTCTTGGGCGGATTTGAACCACCGATCTCCTGTTTACTAGACAGGCGCTTTAACCGCTAAGCCACAAGACCGGTTGCTTCTAGTTTTTTTGAGTTATTATCATGTGTTTTTGTTCCATATAAGTATGTCATTTGAAGTCGATTGACTTCAAAATTTTTTGTTTCTTTCCCAGAAAAGGAATGGAAGTTTCGATACCTTGGAAAAAACTATAGTGTTTTCTTTTTTCTTTCCAAGAATTCCATTTCGTTTTTTTTTAATTTCTAGCGCAGTTTCTGGGCGGATTCGAACCATCGCTGTTATATACACATTATCCTTATCCCCTAAGCCACAAGACCTGTTGCTTCTAGATTTTTTGATTTAAAATCATGTGTTTTTGTTCCATATAGGTATGTCATTTGAAGTCGCTTGACTTAAAATTTTTTTGTTTCTTTCCCAGAAAAGGAATGGAAGTTTCGATACCTGGAAAAAACTATAGTGTTTTCTTTTTTCTTTCCAAGAATAAGATCATTTTATTTCCTTTTTTTTTTATTTCTAGCGCAGTTTCTGGGCGGATTCGCACCATCGCTGCTATATACACAGTATTCTTATCCCCTAAGCCACAAGAATTCTCGGTTTCAATTTTTCCGATTCGAAATTGTTTTTTTTTCTTAACACGTTTGTCATTTGAAATTGCTTGACTTATAGCTTTTTGTTTCATTCCCAGAAAATGAATGGAAGTTTCAATACCTTGGAAAAAGCCATAACTTTTCTTCCAGGAACCAGATGAATCTTCATCCTTCGAATTGTTAGTTAGCTCAGGTCTTGGGCGGATTTGACCCACCGATCTCCTGTTTACTAGACAGGCGCTTTAACCGCTAAGCCACAAGACCGGTTGCTTCTAGTTTTTTTTGAGTTATTATCATGTGTTTTTGTTCCATATAAGTATGTCATTTGAAGTCGATTGACTTCAAAATTTTTTGTTTCTTTCCCAGAAAAGGAATGGAAGTTTCGATACCTTGGAAAAAACTATAGTGTTTTCTTTTTTCTTTCCAAGAATTCCATTTCGTTTTTTTTTTAAATTTCTAGCGCAGTTTCTGGGCGGATTCGAACCATCGCTGTTATATACACATTATCCTTATCCCCTAAGCCACAAGAATTGTTGGTTTCAAGTTTTCCGATTCGAAATTGTTTGTTCTTTTTCTTAACACGTTTGTCATTTGAAGTTGCTTGACTTATAGTTTTCTGTTTCATTCCCAGAAAAAGAATGGAAGTTTCAATACCTTTGAAAAAGCCAGATTTTTTTTCCTGGAACAAGATGCTGCTTTATCCTGCGAATTGTTAGCTAGCTCAGGCCTTGGGCGGA